TTAGTTAATATCCGATTTTATCTCCCTTGACTAACTTCCGCGCCGGTTTGTCATATCCGCGGCGCATCACCGCACTTCATTTCACACGCTCGATAGCTTTTTGATAGCTGATTGGCAGTGCCTGCAGTCTATGGCCTTAATCGACCGATTTCCAACGACAAAACCTTTCTCTTCTGCACCATTTGTACGATTTACTGTTGCGCTTCGGGCCGCGCAATTATCGCCAGCCCTGCCTGAAAATCGTTTTGTCCCGTCCACATACACAACTGTGCGCCGTCGTAATCGCATTGAGGATTCCATTTCCCTGACAAATTTCCAGCCGCAAAAAATAAAGACGTATTGCCAGTTTTAATCAAACGTTTAATTAAATTAAAATTTACGAGAACTTACTATTCTCGCGCGCACCAAACTCAAATTAGAATTACAAATTAACGTTTTTGTTTTTTTTTGTAAATTCTTTTCACATCAAGCTGTTACACTTTCGATACTTGATCAGTCACAACGATAATTTGTACGATAACAAATACGGAACAGTAAAATCAATTAAAGGTATGATTGTATCAAATTCTTAAAGGATATTGATACTTTACGTAACAGAGAAGAGAGAGAGAGAGAGAGAGAGAGAGAGAGATCGAATTTACTGATTATTTTAACATACCTTTTTAATAGGTATAAATATGCGATATCAACCGTAACATGATTCGATTATTTATGCGTGAATAAACCGTCCCAATCACTATGAAATGATTTATATCGCGGATCAAATTCTAATACTAACTATTAGCCTTTTTTCTTGCGCACGCGGTGCATCGTTTCACTTCACTTCACTCGCTCGATAGCCTTTTGATAGCTGCTTGACATTGTCTGCAAACTATGGCTCTACTAATCGATCTACTTGAAACGACAAATTTCTTCCTTCCGCATCGATTCCCTGTTGCAGTCATCAATAAGTGTCCTTACTGTCTGCTGAAAAATTGATAGATTCGGAAAGACTCGAAGTCTTTTAATTCTTATACACACGTGAAAAAGAAAGGATAAATATCTCTTCGCTTTCGGGGTCGAACTTTTGTTTACCGTACTTTTAAACTCCGCGATATCTCCCGTGTAAGTGCAACCCGAAACTTACGCGAGTAATATAAAAATAGCTGGGGGCTTTTTCTCAGAGGTATTTCGCGGACTCCGATACGAAGTTTTCGGCGGATTTAGCGTAAATTCGTTCAATCCTCCTATCGATCCTCGGCGGAATGCATCCCCGTGCCGGCAATCTCGATGCATCACTGCACTTCACTGCACATATCTCGTGCGATAGTCTTTTGATAGCGGGGCCTGTAGTCTATGGCCTTAATCGAGCAATTCCAAACGACCGACCTCAAACCCTTCCTCTCGTCTCTCTCTCTCTCTCTCTCTTTCTCGCTCTATCTCGGTTTATGCAATCGGCACATGTTGCACTTTAGCCCGCGTCGGTGCAAATCGAGATGCAGCGCGACCTCGGGACTCCGGCGCGTTCGGCTCCCCCCATTGTACGGGACGGATTGTCGCGTCGTTTACGATGGACGTAACTCGAACTCTGAGAATTCAGGGATGGTAAAACTCGGGCGATAAAGTTCAAGAATTTTATTAGCGAGGGACGCGTGGACGCGAAATTGTAGGAAAAGAATTCAAATATCTTGAAGTGCCCTTTAAGAACGGTGGTTTCACGTGGTTTATATGCTACGGCTGTCTCTCGAAAGAGTTAAAGACTTGAAAATTCAATATATCAAGCTCCGAAAGAATCTTCAAGTTCCATGAAAATCCTCGTAATCTCAGACTCATAAGAATCTTCAATTCCACCAGATTCGAAAAAGATCGTTTGTCCAAAGATGAATCTCGCGAGAAATTTCTTTATCAATTTTTTTTTTTAATTTTAAATACGATACATTTTTCGTATGATGCTAATACACATGTTGGACGTTTAAACGTTACGTTCACATCTCTAAACGCGTGACGAAAATAACATCGTAACTTGGCAAAAAGATTGGAGTTACCTAACGATATTTTTTAATCGGTCGCTCACCGCGGTGCGTCTCTACGAGTCCAAAATTGCGCCTCTTCTTTCGCGTCTCGCGATATTACCTTTGCCGCCAGGCACTATAGCATTCGTGCCGAAAAGGGAGCAGTGGGCCGAGATCTGTCGGCGTATTCGCAAGTCACGCGGCTTAATGCCTCGCGGAGATATCCCGACGTCATCTTGTCGGCCGCGCGAATAAAAGCGACGGAAAAATGCACAAGCCTGACGTAATTCACCGTGCCGCGCTGCCGTGTTCTAGAGGAGCGGACTAATTAGACGTTGCTGGCCATAATGAGGAGTCCCTTGCCGCCCGCGACAATCGCTCTTACATGATCGCGTATGTAAATCGCCGGCGAATTGACTGAGGAAAATTGTCGGCTAATATAATCGTCACGGAAGCGACATCGAAACTAGATAACTCGAGTCTAGATATGCACATTGGCAATTGAAGTATCATGTTAAACAAGCAGATTCTTCTATAGAAACGACGTAGTATAATTCTTAGTTTAGAAATATGTTTGAATTTTGTAAAGTTTTTTTTTTTATAATGATAGTTCAATCAGGCTAACGTGCTTATAGCATTTTATTGTTGATGTGTAAATAGCATGAAGTTTTATAAAATTTTAATGATGTAAAATAACTTGCGTGTTTACCAGAAAATATTAAAATATCTTAAATTTCTTAAAGAGTACATATATACATAGATATTTTTAAATTTTTAAGATATTTTAATATTTTCTGGTGGTACGCAAGTTATTTGATATCATTATCAAATTTTATATACCTCCACGTTGTGTTTTATATATGTATATATAAAACACAACATATATATAATTTTTTGATCTTATCGATAAACGGTATCTCTTAATCTTGTCCTCTTTTAGATACATTATCAGTCTTAATCAGTTTAAGTGTCTTCATTTTAATAATTTGTAGACCCGGAAAAATATAGATACATCCACGAATTTTTATCCACGAATAAACGATAAATGTCGCGATCTCGATTTATTGTTTGTTCACAGATAATAGATTAAATGATTTCTCATCTTTTTTTCTCTTATGGTGATAATGATGTTTATATATATATATATATATATATATATATATATATATATATGTATAAACATAACTTATAAGTTTATATAAGTTATATATATTTATAAATTTATATAAGTTTATATATATATAACATTGGCATCCATACGTCTTAATCTTATCCGCGTGTAGAGATAGAATATCCCCTTTAACCTCTTTGGTACTACCGTCGACTTTAGTCGGCCGCTGTCGTAAGTGCTTACGACGCTCATTAAATAATATTTGATTTTTAATTTGAACGTTTTCAATTAATGTTTTTTTTATTAAAAGTAAATAAACCTTGTGTACAAATCAATAATAACTTTATCAGGGAACGTGTACACAAAGATATCCGGTGATCTTTACATAGCGATAAGTAACTCACGAGTTTCGTCTGCTGCTCTCGCGGATAACGCGACGAGTGTCCGCCGTACCGAAAAGGTTAATCTTATCCGCGTAACGTCTTAACAACACCGTCTGCGATGATCTACGATGAAGCCGTGAGGCGGAATTATTTCGGGAAGGATCGAAGATCGCGCGGTACTTTTTCATTTTTATCGCGACAAGGGGGAGATCTGCATTGCGACACTGTCTCTCCTGCTCTTTTTGGAAGCTCAGCCCAGCATCCTCGTTTATCCGATTCCAGCGCGATGATCTATACGCCATAACTCCGGCTATCTCATCCCCTCGGAGGCTTGATGTGCGTATGGATCACCCGGATTGGAGGGAATGAGAGCGTGCGGATCGAAAAATCGTGTGATCTAAATTCACGGATAACGTAAAAACGTTGTCTGTGAGGTAATCTCGATCTTGCGTGGGTGCGTAAAAAAAAGATATAAAAAAACAGCGGAAATTGTTTTTTGTTCGACAGATTGAATTAGTTTTTTTGATTTCGAGAAGAATGGAAATTCCTTTGGCGAAAACAAATATTTTTTTAGCACTGCTAGAAGTTATGAATGATAAAAAAATAATGCTAATTTGATTGAAAGAAATTATTGATATCGTTGACTCTTGCGCATTGATATTTGTTTGCTATATTTGTATAGTTTTATACTTTATCTATATTTATCTGTATTTATTTGTATAGTTTTATACTTTATTAATCTTGTTATAATCTCTGTCTAATTATATCATTGTGTATTTTGTGTATTTTAAGCAAATTAGCACGGATAGCACGAATAGCTTTCCACGAAAGCTGATAAAAGAAAACGTTTCAAAGAATAACATTATAAAATTTTGGCTTTGAAAATTACGACAGTGATGTAATTTAAAAGATTGACAGTTTAGTTAAATTAAGTTGAGACTTTAGGTACATGCATATCAGTCGTCAAAAACTTTCCTAGAAACAAGCTCGGTTCTCCTCTATCAAAACTGGATCAATCGTTGAACTCGAAACAATGATAAAGCCACCACGAAGTCTTGAACACTAAATTCACCCATCTAAAATCCCCCAATTATATATCTTTATCCCCAGTCGCGCTCTCTAATCGATATTAGAGAACCACTCCTGAAATTCTCTCCACGCGCTCCCGCGCTCGACGCGCTGAAACGTCGGCCTTGGCCGGCTGCTGCGCTCAAGGATTTTGCATCCTGGGCGTCGATGACGTCGCTCGCGTTGTCCAAGGGTCGGAAAACTCGGAAATGGATTGGACGGTGGGGGCAACGAGGCTCGTGTCGACGTGCACGTAACTCGTCGATGCATGTATAGCCGCGCTATTGCAATTTGTCTCCGACAGCCGCGTATATCTTCTGGCATATCGATCATACGACGAGATCTCCTTTTTCCGACGTATTTGTTTCTTTTTTCTTTCTTAATCTTCTCGATCACTCGAGATATCGTTGATATTGTTAATGCAATACAACGTGCTTTATTGCTTACCTGTAATTAGCTGCTTTTCCCGTCTTTTACACAAATGCGAGACTTGAAAATTTAATGCCACGCCAAGTGCATTGGCACACGCTCGTTCATAAGTATAATATATATTGTAATATTTTTCCGTTCCCCGCCAACTGACATTCTTTCAGACGCAGTTTTCTGCCGGCCGGTCGCGCGGTAGTTATCGTCGAAGGCGCGTTTTGTCCTCGGGATGCGTCCGTTCGGTGACACTTTGTATAACTCGCCGTCGTGCACGCTCGTACGTGCATTGCCGCTCGTACGCGAGCTCGGTATCAGGTCGGTCGATTAAACTAAAATTAACTCGTCTAGCTCGCGCGAGCGAGTTCCCTCTTTCGGTGCACGTTCGAGCATTGCGTTCACGTCGACATGTCCTTACATCATCCTGGAACTGCTCCTAAAGGTCTCTGCGTTATCCTTCATACGCCTTTGATGGTCCATATCAATGAAATAAAAAGCTAATAAAAGTTGCTTTTATATTAATTTTAATTTTAATAACGTTTTCATATTTTGTAGGAAATCAATTAAAATTTTTAGCCTTATAAAAATCTATTATATTATTTATTTATTAAATTTTAAATTTTGTAATACAGATTTACAATATATTTCAAATTTCTGTTTGTTTAAAAAAATTTTGAAGTTAGCAAGTTTATACCTTTTGAATAGTGAAGTAATTATTTTTTTTAATTTTCCATAATTTTTATTATTTTAATTATATGAGTCGTATTAATAAAAATAATTATTTATTTTGAATTAGGAGTTTATTCTCGAAGCAAATTTCTTTCAAATCACATTTTATTGGCAACTTACTTGACTCAGCAGAGGGATTTTTATTGTAAATTAATTATTACTTGAAAGTTCATAATTGCGCAACAACTATATATTTATAGGTACTTAATTTTACAGTCACACCTCAAGGCGTTTTGTCTCGAACTAGTCTCCAGCGCTCATTCGAGAATATTTTTTTTTTCTGAATAATAATGAAAGATAATCAGTCTAGACTTTATTTTATCCTTCGACATCTAGTCGATAAATGCGTATCTTTAGTCTGCCCGAGGCGGTCTTTGTGAATCTATTTTGCTCCCATATTTGAGAGAGAACTTCTGCCTCGAGAACGAGATTAATAACTAATGTCGATTTAATACTTTTTTGTGCTAATATATAATTACTACTACAGATTGTATTTTTTCCCCTTCACAAAATGCATTGCCTAACGATTAATTTTTTGTGATTTCCTTACATGTATAATGCCTTATATAACACGGTGATCTGAACAACACTTCTGTCGTTCAATTTGAATTCACGTAATACGCAATGACATTTAAATATACGCGTTGCTTAAAGATAAGCGTTTAAACAAATACAAAGTGTGTTCTAATATAGAATATTGCTCCGTAATATATATATCTATAATTTTTTCTTACATCTAAACGGAATTTTCAGTTTTTTTTCGTTTTTTAAGAAACGTTTCTTTATAGCAGGCATATTAAACAGAAATTTTCAAAATTTTTAACGAAGCTCCGATATGGACGATTCGATGTCGAGATTTTCTAACTAATTTACATCAAAAACGTCATTTATGCAGATTTTACAAGAAAATACAAAAGTAAGAAGTATATAGTCTTGCGATAAAACTGTTATAAAAGTATGAAATTTTCTCGTTAAACTTCTTAAGTATATATCGATTATCTCGATTAGTAACGTATGATTTATATTGCACCACGAAGAAATTAATAAATCTTGATCGGTCCGTGATGAGAATTTGATCATCGTCCAAATTCGATTATCGTCTTGCTCGACCCCGTTGCATCCTACTGGTGCATTCTTGAACATACATATTTTATTTAGCCGCTGCGGTACCTTTCTATTCGCCGGGATTTAAAAATTTTATTTAGCCACATGCGATTTATCGCCAGCCGCGCGAATTTTTTAGCGTCACACAAATGAGGATTGGGAAAACCAGAAACACATTTAACACTCTAGGTACCACTGCAATTGTCAGCTGGTATTTATTCCTTTACATCTATTTAGCGTCGCATTTAGATTCATCTATTTAATTTCAAGCTTCATATGTCTAATATGAAAGTAGTGTTATTACGTAGTTCATCACGCTTAATAATAAGCGTGCAATGAGAACGAATCGATGATGTTTACTTTCTACAATCTACTTGTAGCTAAATAGGGTATAACAGGGTAATTTGGATAACAGTAAGCATTTGCAAGAATTACTTGATTACGATTTTTGACGAGCTCAAATGTAACTCACATATATTCCTTTATTTATATCCATAACGAATCCGAATTTTGCATCAGAAAAATCATTATAGGGTACAGCGGGGTAATTCGAATAGTGGGGTAATTTGGATAACAGTAAGTAATTGCAAGAATTTCAGAAAAATAAGAGATTTTAAGATACATTTCATTAAATCAGACATTGATCTCTTACCCTATAATGATTTTTTTGATGCAAAATTCGGATTCGTTATGAATATAAATAAAGGTATATACGAGTTACATTTGAGTTCGTCAAAAACTGTAATCAAGCTTTGCTTTTGACGAATTTCTTAATTTTAAATTTTAATAACAGAGCACACGGTTAGCTTTATAATTTCACATTAATTTTCTCTACTTTTTCCTCGACGACGGAATCGATCAGTGGTGGCTTGCGAGAGGCTCGTTTAGCGTGAAACGCGGCGTTCGCCGAGAACGCGCGAGCCTCCCTTTTACGCCGCGACGACGCGAAACGCGGCGAATGGCGTGGCGTGTCGTACGTGGACGCGCGCACGATTTTCTTTCGTCGTAATTTCCGTTGCAATTAGCCTACGGCCGCGTTTCGGGGAATGCCGGGATGCACGCGACGGAGCTGCATTGATTCGCAGATACAGAGGCAGCGCAGCGGAGGCGCGCTCGGGGCGCGGAGGTCATGGGTAATGGAGTGCACCGTCACGTTGCTATGGGAAATTCGGGATTCCCCGGGTTAAGGGTCGAGAGGATGGCCGGCCGCGCGATCGAAAGGCTTCCATCGGACAATTCGCTGTTTATACCTTTATGCCTCATTGTTTCGTCGGACGCGTCCGACGGTTATGACAAATTAATTAGCGTTGAATTAATTTGTTTGCGAATAAACTACAGACGAATAAATTGAGTGAATTGAAAAAAAAAGAAGTCACATTTATTTGCGCGATCCAAACAGAACGCGGCGGGGGGGGGGGTGATAGCAACATTTATTTGTCTTTTTAATTAAACGATAATTGATGAACTTTATATACTTAATTAATTGCTCTACAAGCTGCGGATATGCGCCAATTAATATTTGGTATATTTGATTATTTGAATTATTTCTGCATTGTGTGCACGGCAAGATTTAAATTAAATTTATAGATGGTGCAACTCAATTTATTCGCTTAAATTATTCCTTTTCTGTTCCTGCTGTTTCGATAAAAGCGCGAATAATCGAGTCGGCAACAGCGAATAAATTGCCACTCACGGCATAATTTTAAGAATGTTACGAACACAGCTTGATATCGCTACGGCAAACCGGGGGACTCGTCATCGATGGCGATTGCGTGCCTAATTATCGGTATTCGAGGTATCCGCAGTTCGGCGTGTTACATAACGTCACGCCATTGTAACGCGACGCGTTAATGATTCCTCGCTCGGCTCCTCGCCGCGCGATTTTGCAAATTGCGACATGACGATCCATCGCTGGTGCGACGACGCACGGTCTCTCTCCACACTGGCGGCAATCCTCGCTAAAGAGCCCGGCAATCGATTCGCGGAAGGTGCACGAGCGGGTGCAACATTCGCGCCGCGATCGAGATAAAAGATAACGGCGGAGTTTTGGGGCTTCTCACATCGCGTCGACGCGTCTAACTTTTTTCCGTGACTAAACGGGGCAATTTTTGCATCTCGCGAAGGATATCTCGAAGATTCTGAATACCTTATGCGCGCTAGTCAGACACACGAATTACGGCATTACAAATTACAAAAATAGTCTTATACAATTACTCGATTGTTAATTTTATTTTTTTTTAAGTTTTAAATACAATTCGAGTAAATTTTGTCTTTATATTTTTATAATTTATTATAATCATAATAAATTTGTTTTGATTTTATCAACAGTAGACTTTCCAGATAGGTATAGATGAAAAGAGCTAAGGTTTCAAATAGATTATATGAAAAGATTTAAAAGATTCAATTCTTTTTTTATCGCGCTTACGAATTATTTTCCCTCGCATTAGTCATCCTCTCTTTAGTCTTGCTTAAGAGGGATGCTTAATGGAGACACAGAAATCTGGGTTATAATAACAGTAGCTGAGCATGATTTTTGTAACGTAATGATAGACATTTCTCGGTACAGATAAATTAATGCTAAGCCAGCACGAGCGAATGCGCGATTGAGTTTCACTCGTCGAAACTGCGAAGTAGCATTCGCGTTTATCGCTTCGTCTAAATCGTGAGGTTCTCGCAAAAGTTAATCGCAGTGACCAGTGTACTTGAACAAAATGTGATCGCTGCAGGTTGATGAATTTTATTTGTCTTCATGGAATCGACTTTGCTTTGCTAAACTAATTAAAGAAGGAAAAAAAAAGATTTGCTCGGCGTCAGCCTGTTTTAAAAAATTGCTGCCTGTGTGTTTTCTTAGACCATAGATATGATCCGGGACTTCTGTCGGTGCCGTGCCGTCTTTAAACGTGCCACGGTGTGTTCATAGCGACGATTAAAGGCGTGTAGATAGGAGTCGACGTTTCGATGAAAGATAATCGCGATACCGCGAACGCGTGACGACGTTGATGAGTAGCGCGATGCGAAAGGAAATCCGATTTAAATGGCTGCACTAGAGCCGATTAGGACTTAAATCAGGTTAGGCTCATATTTATCGTGTGCACCTCGACAGAAAAAATTGCACTTCGTCAAATTACCGTCGTAAATTTTGCAAAACGGAATATTTTTTTAAATAATTGACACGAACTGAATAGTAATGCGAGAAGATATATTATCGCACTGCCGTACAATGAAACTTTTGAAAAATATAGATTTTAATTGAGTATATTGGAGTATATATGGAACATGCATAAATGTGTGTTTACGAACTCTATTTTATATAATTAATTTTACTTTAATAGAAGTTTTATAAAAGCGAGATTTCTTGTTGGAAGATGTCGCATTAGGAATCGTAAAAGCGTTTATTTTTCGAGGAGTTGTAAGCGACAAGAAGCATGGCGGATCCGAGGGAAGGAGGAGGGGGAGGAGGAGGAAGGGAACATCCTATATATATATCTATATATTTTAAATTAAAATACGTAACGATCGCTCTCTCGCATAACACACGATGCGGCTTCCGTCGATCATTAAATGCAGCAGCACAGCCCCGATGCGGATGGCCGCGCCCGTATAATACGGAGTGGACGGCCCGTTTTTGCTCCATTTTGCCCCCGCGATACTTTCGTACCGCACGCATCACGTGCACGTGAAACCTGCGCTGCAACCTCGCTGGAGCCTCGAAAACAAGCGCTCTCCCTTGCTATTTATCTTGGCTGTGACACGGAAGTATCTAACCTTTTGGGACCTTCGGGTATTTTTAAATTCGATAAACAAGTACACGAGAGTAGAGAAGAAACAACATTTTTTTTCTTTACGTTCTTTTCTCTCTCTTTTAATGGCTAGAGATAAATACTTCTTCGATTTTAAATAACGAGCCTGAAATAATCGTCTGTCACGAAGGTAATAATTTTTTGAGATTTATTACGCTTCACGATGCAAAAGCTAAAGCACATATTACGCATAAATTTCGTCGTTCGATTGTAAAAATATGAGCAGCAGTATTTACGAACTCGTTTGGTTTTTTAATTATATCTTAACGTACACCTGTTCTTTCGCTTTAGAATTTGATGAGCGGAGTGCAACGCATTTCGACGGATCAGATCTTGGATTTTGCGCGTTCGCGCGATCGACCGGCTGGCCGGCCGGTCCGTCGGTTGCTCGGCAATTCGCGTCACGATCGGTGGAATTTGCGATCGCCTGCGGATCGGCGTCGTTCGAATTCGCGGGCAAACACCCGCCGCAGGCATCCGGGATCCCCAGGTTTTTGTCGCGTGTTATTTCAGCTGCCGGTACGGACTGTAACGTAGTCGGATATTATCGGATGCGATATTCGTGAGTGCGCCTCACGTGAGATTAGAGATACCTAATGGCGAAATCGCCGTGAAACGCGTTTCACAGTGCGTTTTGCAAATCGTAGCGGATGAGAATGCAGAGCGACGTGTCCGACACGAACGATGCAATCGGTGATCGTTATCGCTAGAAGGATGATGAGAGAAAACATTAATAGCGTTTGATTTTTTTTTTATTAAGGGTCACGCAAGTCTCACGATATACAGAGCCAATTTTTTGATCATCGGAATACTTTTCAAGTAGTCAAATATGTATTAAACTATTCGATTAAAATACATAAGATTTAATTAGGATAACATTAAAAGAAATAAATATCACAATATACTTGTTTGTTTTATTTTAATATAATTGAAATATTTAGAGCTTTTAAAAAGTTGGGGAATAACGTATAATATTTATAAAAAATATTACATGATTTTTACGTTTCACTTTTAGAGACATATATTTGGCGATAAACTTGGCGAAATTATATTGCAGGTGTCTCGAATAATCTCGGGATGTAAAACTCGGGATTCATGCATCTCTAAAATAAAGATATTTCTGTAAGAGAAACACTTTTTGTTTTTCCACGTTGTTTAGCCACGTCGTTACAATTCTTTTCGAGAGACGTAAAAATCACACTTCGAAGACTTGAATAATCCCAAAATAGGATCGCTCCAATTCGCCGAGTAATCACGCTTAAACATGTCCTCACAACCAGTGAGAAGGCGCGTCGTCAAGGGAAAGAGAGAGAGAGAAAGAGCACTCTCGCACAATCACGACAATCGATCCGCCGAATTTCAATAAAGGGCACCGGGTCTTCGCTGGGCGAAGGGACGACTGTGCGGCGTGGGCGGCCCTGTGACCTTGAACAGGACGTGCCTGTCGCGATGCGCACGCGCGCTCGCCCGCAGGGTTCGATCATCCTTCGTCGCCGGGGGCCCTTCGCCACACCGGCTGGCTCGGAAAGTCGCTTTTCACTTTCACGTCCCTTTCCCTGTCCCTTCGTTCGCTCGTCCGCCCGCCCGCCCGCTCGCCCGTTCCGCGCAGCGCGCTTTTACGATAAGAGCGAGTGCCAGGTCCGCTCGTAAAAGGATCTCGTGGCAGGTTGCGAGGGAAGTGCAATCGAGATCCATGGTTTGGAAAAAAAAGAGAAGACAAAATAATGCGTCTCGCGCAAACTATCGCGTACGAAAGGTATCTACGTTAACGCTCGATCGAGTATGCAGGTTTGATCAAAGGGCCAACCTCGTGTCTCCCTTTCTTTGAGAGCATCCTCGAAATTCGGGTTTAAATTGCCTCGTTAGCCGGTCTTCGCTTTCTTCTGCCCAGCTGGCCGGAAAATCAAAGCTCTCGGATCACTCGAGAATGTTCATTGGATGTTTGCTTATCAATGTAACATATAACATAGGTTTATTACTTATTTTTATATTTTATTTACGCACACTTGTATTATTGTTTTATTATGTATTACGTAATAATAACATAAGGAAACGCGTATCGATGAACAAAACATTTATTTAGTAGATACTTCCGAAGAAAATAATTTGAAATACGCGAATGCGAAGAATAACAAATATCTTGCATTGTATTTACTTTAGCTAAAACGACAAAATTTTTATTTACGATAAAAATTAATGACGGTTTTAATTTAAAGACAGCTAGAGAGTATCTTTAAGTAGAGTTATATAATTAACTAAAAGCGTCGATGAAGCTCTTTGTACCTTTTGTACAAAGAAGGGATCAAAGAGGGTTGGGATATTTTAAAGAAGACAAGCCACTCCTAGACTTCCTTATTTTTTTAAATATAATTAGGACACGATTTTTTTTTTATTAATCGTTAAACATCTGGGATGGCTTTGATCTTGATTACATTAATTAATTTCCAAGCGGATTTTTAATATATTGTCATTGTTGCTCTTTGCTTAATTATATACATAATAAAAAGAACATCTTTAAGAATATCATAGAGATCCGTATTTGTTTCGAAGATGGTAGAATTTTGTCTGACACGAATGAGTTTCATGAGAAGGATCGAACACTTCAAACAGCGAGTACATTCGTTGAGTCGATTCTATTGGCGTACGTAGCAGAGTTAAAACGTACAGTTCCCTCGTTACGCGATCGCGTCGTATTGTCTGTTTAATAGCAATCTTCGTATGTGAGCAGACAAGTGTTCGGTCCTTTATCGCAGCTGGTCTTATTGTTAGATAAGAGCGAGCCTCAGTTGGTAGACTGATTATGACGAGTAATTCTTCATTAATCGCTCCGATCGCATTATACATTAGGCAATCGATCGAGGAAGTGTCAACGTTCATGCCAGATAAAGACGGACAATGGTATTTTTTTTTCCAAGTGCACTCTCGTAATTTTTGATAAATTGCAATGTTTCTCCTTACCATTTATATCTCGATAATAAATGTTGCGAGGCTACATACATAATTTTCTTGTATTTGTATTATGTAAAATCATATCGGTATTATAAAAAGTGATATTATAAATGTTGCAATTTTGAAGAGAGTGTCCTTTGGTCGACGGCAGTAAAGTTTTAATTAATTTTTAATTAACAATTATTTGCAAATTGCTTTGTGTAATACTGAGCTTAAAAAGAATATTTTTTTTACGTGATTAAGTACGTCCCGTTTTATAAATTTTAGAGCAAAATTTGTCCGCCTTTGTTTCTGGGATTTATTTGTTTAATGACGCGTGGGCTTGATTGAACATTATCAACCTCCGCCAGCCATGCGTGCCACGTTAACTATAAAATTCATGTCAACGCTCGCTCTCGTTGCCCGATCAATATCCGTTGCGAAGCGGTTTTCTCGCGCGCGCCCGCCGCTGTTTCGTTAAACAAATAATTCGCGAAAAAAAAGCGAGCTACAGCGAAAAGCTCGCATGGAAACGAATGGAACAGCGAATCGAATTTTCGCTCGTCGAGGCTGTCGCGCGTGAAGTCATCACGAAGAATCGATTAACCTCATCGTCATGATAAACCGAAAAATTGATTCCAATTTCGAAAATGAATGCCACGGCTCTGTAAAAAAAAAAAGAAAAAAAAATCGACAGGAAGACGGATGATATGATGGATTCTAAACCAGTTTGCGTTCGACGATCACGGCACGAAAACTTCAGATTGTGTTATACAATTCCAAACGAAATCTCATTTGTCGAATATATATGCGTAAGGATATAGCCGCTATATCCAGGGGAATATCGAAGCAACAACGCCCGTCTTCTTTTTAGAAGAAGCTTATCTGGAAGATGTAGTCATCGTTCTCGAAGAACCGAAGAAGAGTGCAAAAACAGAGTAGTCGAAGCTTATTCTTCGAGACGTCGACTTATTTTTCTCACTGTGAAATTCCAGCCGAGTCCGTGCGGGCAAGATGAACCTCGAAAACTGCTCCAGTTTTTCCAGGACGGCGTCATCGGCTTCCGAGCCTGCTGGAGGAACTGGCTGTGGAGACAAAGACCTTCGGAGTACGTCAGCAAATCCGCGACTGAGCTCCTCTTAAAGCACGACCGTGCATGCATCTCAAACACAACGTGCTCGCACAGTCAAGCATCTTATTTTCAACATTCCAGAAGCGATTCCAACGACTTCTTATGCCGACACAATCGGATACGATCGTTCAGAGCAGCGAGGAGTTTTTGATGCTCCGAGCAGCCGCCGCCGTTCCGAAATCGTTTCGTCAGAGGCGATCGATGAGGAGAATGCCTAATGTTTCGGAAAAACTGTACCTCCTAAAATTCACAAACGAATTACTTTTGTTCGCTACATTTTCTCTGAATCAATCTGTCAAATCGATCTGTTATTTTTGAGTTATTTAATCTGTACGATTGCTGAGGTGAAGAGTCGAATCGCGAGTTAAATCGAATGGGCCTTTGTTGTTCACGTAATTTTCGTCATCACAGAGGTCGACCCGCTGATTCCTAATACCAGAATCATTCAGCGAGTCGCGACGATTCGATGCCGAAGGGCTCCGGGAGCTCCTCTGAATTATATCATAGACCTTGAAGGGGACGACGAGCGATTCCCGAGGAGCGCCTATCCTCGATTCGTCCAGCTCGGTCGATCCGCTCGTCGCCTATAGGAATGTTCGGCAGGAAATTTCCATTCCGGCGGTTCGATCGCGGACCGAAACGAACGGCTCGGGGCTCCGGCGTCGTTCCGGTACGAGTCTGCATCGGCGTAAAGGCCACGGGAAGAACCGACAAATGTCGGAGATGGCCGAGGCGTCGTTGCGCCGAACCACGAGCTACCCTCGGCAGCAGCTCGCGGCTGGCTATGGCTATTGACCGAGCTTGGCGGACCGGCCGGTCAGCTGTGCGCCTCGCCGGCGGTGTGGTATTCTCCTCCGCGGCCAGGAAGAAGCCGTCCACGTAGACGAGGCGGTGTGTCGTTTGGGCCGGCGAGGATCAGTCGGCGCGAGTCAGCGACGGGGAAACCGGAACACGAGCGAACGTCCGTCCAGTCGGATTGAAGGAGAGCCAAGCGGGGACTCTCTCAGGAGAGGAGTCCGGCGGCGACGGTAGTGCTCGAAAAGACCGCTCGGTCTCCGGGCGTAGGAGACAATCGCGGTAGAGAGACGGTCCCCCGGGGAGCCGCGCGTTCGTACATATGTCCGCGAGTGGAATCGAGGGACGAGAGAGACTGATTACTCCGGTCTCGCCGTCGTCGTCATCGTCATCATCGTCGTCGTCGTCGTCGTCATTGTCGTTGTCGTTGTCGTCAATGGATCGGTCCCGGTGAAAGCCCAAAACGTGCGAATCGCTCGCTACACGCGCTGCGGCAAGTAAAGGCAGCTGGAGTAGGAGAGTGAACCAAACGGAGCGGGAGTTAAAGAGAGCTAGAGAGAAAGAGAGACAAATATACCGAGAGCGGAAAAAGAGAGAAAGAGAGAGAGAGGAAAGGAGGGACTTGGCTCACGGGCAACACTCGACATGTAGAGTCTGCAGAGACCGACCGGCTGTGCACGGCCAGTGCCGGAGACGATCATACGAGAGAGGACTCGAAAGAGAAAGAGAGAACTAGAGAACGGCAACGAACGGTTTCGAGAGAGACAGCGAAGAGGTGGGAGGAGACGGGAGAGACAAAGAGAGCAAGAGAGTGAGAGAGTGAGAGAAAGAGAAAGATCGACCGAGTGTGGGAGAGACACCGAATGAAACAGAGCGAGAGAAAGAAAGAGAGAGAAAGAGAGAAAAGGATAGGCAAATAGATAGGTGTCGTGTACGTATGCGTTGACGAGTGTGCCGCCGCGACGTGTGTGCAGGTGTGTGCGCGTGTTACAGGCAGGCCGCCGGCACAAAAAAGTACAGGGCCCAGTGGACTTTTCCATACCGGAGGAGAACTGCGTGCATTATACGTACGTGCGTGCATCGTGCGTGCGTGCGTGCATGCGTGCCGTCCGCGCGCGTGTCTGTGTGCGCGAGAGTGCGCGCGCCGCCTTCGCGGACCGCGGACGGACACGCCGGCGAATTTTCAGCCGAATTATACCTGCAAACGGGGACGGACGGGGACCGATCGACCGACCGACCGACCGATCGACCGACCGACTCTTCTCGCGGTCTATCCGCTGACCTCCGCTAAAAGAGGAGAAACGGGCGAAAGCAGATAGAGCCGCTGCGAAGGGGGTAGCTAACTCGGTTTCATAGAGTGCGCGCGATCAGGTGCGAGAAGAGGAGAAAGAGAAAGAGAGAGAAAAGGAAAAAGAGGGTTGGATCACCCCGGGAGGGAGAGACCAGGAGGTTGGACGTCGCGGCGCCGACGTAGAGAGGATACCTTGCATGGACGGCTTTACCGGGTGGAAGCGACCGCGAATCGTCGACAGCGAGAAGAGGAGGTAATAGGATCGTCCACCAGCTGAGGTCTACCTTGCCGGCCGAGAGAGAGAGGGAAGGAGGGAGAAAGAGAGGACGATAGAGATAGCGAGGGAGCGAGCAAGCGAGTGAGCGTGTCTGGTACATAGGAACTCCGTTCCGACTCTGACTCCTCCGCCGCCACTAACTCGCGGTCGGTAAAACGTTGGGACGACGGCGGCGGTGATCCGGTGAGACACGGCCGTCCGAGAACGCACGGTTGGCAGTCGCGGCCTTCTGGTGGACGTGATAAGGACGAGCGGCGCGATCCGTTCCGGCGAGCGAAGCGGTCGGCCGTGCGAAGCACGAGAAGGAGCTGCAGAGGGACGACAGGAAGGAAGGAAAGAAGTGAAGAAACGATCAGCGGATATTCAAAGGACGTGGCTTCTTGATCGGAAAATTTGGTGCTGCATTTAGTGCTGCGTACTCCAATTGTGCCGATACCCAGAAGACCGAGGAGGAACTTGAAGAGGAGATTGAGGAAGTGAGATATTGAAGAAGACAAAATCCTCGCGGAGGAGAATTGCAACAACGACGAGGGAAGATACGAGTCCTCAACATTGATAATCCGGTACTACGTGGACTTAATCACGGCCGACGGCACGAAGAAGGCAGGAGGTAGCCAAAAGGAAGAAAGGAAGTAGCGGAGTGTCCTTGATGGGCCATCCGGCGCTACGTGATCGAGCTGTGTCGCGACCGACATTGGCTCGGCTCCGTCGCATCGAGGGAGATTAGAGGCGACCCACGTTTTACTCGCTTCGTTCGGCAGACAACGAACGCCAGCGAGGCGACGAGAGGCGACGAGGGAGAGCGGCGAGAGGAGCGAGGAGAGGAGAGGAGAGGATCTACTTGCTGATCAGCGCGAACCCCGGGCGATAAGCGGCTCCCGTCTCGAGTTGACGAGCCGCTGACTCGGCGGACACGGGAGCCGGTTGTTTCAACGCTATTAGCCCACGATGACTCCAATTATTCGCGAGTGAGACTTCCACGTTCGCGCGACGGTCTGTCTGCCGCCCGATCCCGGCCGTTTCGCGACCACCCGGTGCGCTCTGTGCCGGTTTTCTTAACGGAAACGAGGACTCTCCCCGACTTCCACGTGTACACGTCGATTGAGAACTGCCGATCCCCGGATCCTCGGCAACGTTGACGGACGGAGTGGTGGATCGGCTACGTTTCGGAAATCGGTCGGAGATGCGCGATCGAGCGCGCCGAGGGATCCCTCTTTCGAGCGATCGCACGCGCCGTGGATCCACCTGGAGCCTCGGCTTGATCCACCATTATTAATTGCTCCGAGGATAATCCGGCAGCGTCGTTCCAACGGATTAATTCGTCCGGGACGAATTTCCAGATTAACGGACGAGCGATCGGCTCGCCTCCTCGGCTCCGCTTCATCCGGGATTACTTCGGGATCGCGCTCGATAAGCCACGAGGATTCCCGTACGCTCGCGCTCGCGCTCGCGCGAGGCTTGAAAATCGCTCGGTGTCGTTGCTTGACAAAACCGGTTTCGTTCGGCTCAGCGAATCTCGGCGTTTATACAAAGGTCGTGTGTGAGAGCGCGCAGCGCGCGCGACCGCGGGAGAGTGTGTGGTAGGAGTGAGATTTATGGAAAACGAATTTACACGAGGTCACACCCACGGGAGCGGCTGTCTATCTCTCTCTCTCTCTTTTTCTTTTTCTGTATCTTCGTTTCTCTTTCTCCCTCCCTCTCTCTCTCTTCTCTCTCTCGTCCATCTTGCAACTCGCTCTCTCTCTCTTTCTCTCTCTTCCCCAGTTTGTCTATCAGTTTATCCACATTCCTTCTATTAATAATAACGAAGCCGGTGCGATAACAGTAGAAAATCGCCGGCCAGACTACATTGAAGAATCCTTGAAGGAACTAGATCTCGATCGCAAGAGAGCGATATCGCTCCGATATCGACCGACCGAATAAATATGCCACATTCGCGGCGGCCTTGAAGAATTTTCTTCGGGCCGACAGTCACTGTGCGCAGGATCAGCGAAGCCGATATCGCTCGGCGACGGGTGCAAAGGGAATTCGTAGGGCGGCTCATCATGCTAGCGACCTTGAGGATCCAAGTGTCTCCGACATTTGAGAATCGCGATCGATCGAGCGCGTAACTATACTACCGGACAGCGTATCTCGAAGACTCCGAAGGATGTCGGGGGACCTGGGTGGCCCGCGGGAGGAGCAGGACTCGTCGCCAGGGTCGAACGGCATTAACGCGTCAGTCACAAGAACATCGGCGTCGGCGAGGAAGATATAGCTGTCTTATCACGTGCACTTGCTTGATGATCGGTCACGGCGACGATGAAGCGTGCGACGAGCGCATCCGTTGCGGCCGCCACGGCTGCCGCGACGCAAGTGCACCACCAGGCGATGATCCAGGAGTTGTTCTCTCCCGGGTCGATGCCGACGGCGGCGGTGACAACGACGACGACGACGACAACGACGACGAGCACGAACACGGCGACGATCGTCGGCCCCTGCACAGATGAGTTGGACAAGCAAATCACGATATCCTCCCGGCTCGAGCCGAAAGGTTCACCGAAGATAAGTCCCGGAACGGGCGACGACAGCAAGGCTAAGTCTACAGTGATGTCGCGATTATTAGCCGTCGATTCCGACAACTATATGCTGCGTAAGGCCTCCACGACGGCAACGACGGCGGCTGCCAACGGCGCCGCAGCGCCGTCGTCCACCACCTCGTCATCATCGTCATCGTCGTCGTCGCTGAATGGTTCCGCGAGTATGCAACTGCAACGGCAGATGCAGAGTCTCGCTATCGGATCGGCAACCACGCCGTCGATCCTCGCGACGTACGGTAACGGCGGCGACCACGTCGTCGGTCAGCTGTACGATGTCGCGCGGACGACGTCCAGATCGACGGCGACGTACGTGTCGCCAAGGTGGTACACCACCGGTAATAATAACCAAGCGACGAGGCAGCATCGGGAGGGAACGGCGGCGGCAGTAGCGGTGGCGGCGGCGGCTGTGGCTGCGGCCGCACAACTCGAGGAGCAATCCTTGCAGCAGTTGCAGCTGCAATCGCGTACGGCGACGTCGACGCGCGACGACGCGACGACGCCCGCGGCGTCGACGGTGGACGGTGTCGAGAGCGAGCTCGGCTTCGCGAGGCCGGTGTGCGCGAGACCGGTGTCCTTCCATCGATACATGTGTTGGTGTAGCGCGCAACAGCAGCAGCAGCAGCTGCAGCTGCAGCAGCCTGCTGTGGCGGAGGGCGTCGACGCGAACTCGATCGGTCGCGCGAAGGGCGGCAGGGGCTCAGCCACCCACGAGGGGTTGGCAACGAGACGAACGGTGCGCGATGATAATAGTAGTCTATGCTGCTGCATGTGCGGTTCTCTATGTCCTGCAGAGTGCCACGCGTGCTTCCACATCGTGTGCTCGGACTACAGCGGCCAGCACCTGTGCCAATGGACTACCAAGGGTCACGCGCTACCGGGCCAGGTTCACGACAAGGACAAGGTCAGTAAGTCAGTGCTTCCTTGTTACATTACAGACGGCGTACCGTTCGAATTAATTATACTTGGGTTACGCTTACCGTCTTTCGGTATTTTTCGTCATTTTTCTCTGAAATAGTCTCTCTCTGCCGGACGGTAAAACGAATCTCGTTAGGACACACTGCGATGTCAGCAGTTGTCACGTTTTGAAAAATATTTGTTCAAATAATTTGTGGAGATTCTTAACGCGAAAAAATCTAGTTGGCGTTGTCGATATATCTCTTTGTTTTTATTAGTACAGCTAATATTTTACAACATAGATCGATTTGTTTTGCAACTCATACCTTTCGTACACAGGCATTCTATGACGCTTTTAGACCGGCAAAATTATCTCTCGCGCATGCATTATCGCAGTTCGGTGAAACAAAAACGCGCAGAATTCTCGCGCGACATTCAAGGCAAAGTACATAGCACTTAAACAATGAAAATCCGGACGTCGAAACAGAGTTTTTCATCTGCATCGAGACACCACACGTAGTGTGCGGAAATATCAAGCTCGGAAAGTAATATTTCTGGTGATAAGGATTTATCTTTAATTATGTTTCACAGTGATTGACGCATTATAAAATGCAGAAAATCTTGACGTGCCATTCCGCACATAAAATCGGTCACGCGCAAAATACAATTTTTTCATTGCAACACGAGATTTTATCTTCTTCCGTTTTTCTTATCTTTTTTCTCATAAATGTGTTTGTATATTTAGTTTTTGTAACTATTTTTACCTAAACGAAATTATGAGCATTTTTATATTAGTTTTACATCAGTTTTATACAAATTCTTGCCATTTTTCGGTAAATTTTTTTCAAGTAATTAATAGTCTAAATAATCTGACGAATGTCAGGCTGAAGTAACAGTCTCGTCATCATCTCGATATAAGAAGTGAACTGTTCCTATTTTGAGTATCTAATTTACATTTATGCAAGTATAAGATTTCCATATACTTATCGACGACGAAATCCATCTTATAGGGATGTGAATCTTATATCTATTATAATCGTGAATTTTGCATAAACGCACGAATGACGTGTCGTTATCAGGGTGAGACCTGCTTGAAATTCGATAGTGTAACGACCTAAATTCGACAGCGTCTGCTATGAAATTGTGATAGAAAAAAAATGGGTAAGGAATATAAATGTCGTCTCTTTTCTTTTTGTAGAATCTGATAACATAACGAAACCGAAATATTCGAGTTACAACTGCGCGTTTCTCAATAACAGAATGCGAGAGCAAAATAATAAAATTTAAAATTATTGATTTCCTGAACGTATTTGAAAGATGATAATTTATGGAAAACTTGCTGTCCCAATATCGATTTCTTGCAAGAATACACATTGAAGAAAATTAGAAATAACGTAAATTTAATAGGTTTTTTTTTCACATAAACTATGTTACGTAAATAATTGCATCTTTTTATTTTATCGATGAAAAAAAGGTGAAAGTCGTACTGAAATTAAATCATCTAAACGCGGGAAGCGATAAATCGCGTTTTACATCTTTTAACTATCACAATTTAAGAAAACTGAGATAGGCATTCGCAGCGGTAAGCCATGATTCACAGATGACTGAACAGATTAAGTGGAGTAAATCTAGTGTATTTATGTCTAATTGCCGCATAAGAGTCATTACAACGGACGGTGTTATAAGAAAGTCAATATTCGCGTAAGTCTCGAATTTTATCCCCCTCAATCAAATTTAACGAGTTAACCGTAAAAATAATTTTTATCGTTCATCCTTATCGTCGGAATGTAGATTTGTTGCGATCGCAGCGTTTTCGGTCCCACGCGTGATCTCACAGATCGGCGCACGGCATCTCGATCGCTGCAAAACCTCTTTGAAGAAAAGGCATTTTATAAACGTCACTGCTCGCCATATCGCGGCAGGATTTCCGTTGCAGAGATGATGACTTCCGCGAAGTAAGTTCCCCGTGGCGAGCATCCTAGATTAGCGGGTCGAGTCGCAAAAATTCGCGACGTTGGCGATTTAATTCTCGCGCGGTGCCGGTGGGATGTAGCGTGCACAACGGTGAGGAAGAAACGATCTCTCGACGGAGATTAATCGAGCGCGTCGATCGGACGGGCGGACGGACGCGCGAGCGCGGATGTAACACGCGGCCGGCTGGCGCGGATTATTCGAGGACGACAAGCGAAGAGGGCTTATCTCGCGGCTGTCGTCATATCGCGGACTTCGGGGTTACGGCGAGAGGTTACGTTTTCTTTTTTCCGTACTTTTTACGCTCTCGCTTTATCGGACCTCTCGGCTACCCGATAGCAGTTGGCCGACGCGGCACACGGAGATGTCTCTTCTCTTTCGCGTCACCTCCTCGCCTCATTCCCCTCGCGTCCCGCCGCGCCTCCGATCGCGCCTCCGATTTATCTAATCGGACCCGTGGCCGGTCGCGTGGTGCGTTAAACGCTCGACGACGCGCCTTATCTTCGGGATCGAGAAAATCCGGAGACGCTTCTCGCGCTCGCGCGCGCGCGCGTGGTTTTTACGTAATCCTCCTCGGCGATCGGCATCGGATAACAGCACTTGTCTAGAGAGAGAGAATATAGTCGTCCGCAAAAAAAAAAAAAAAAAAAAAAAATTCTAGCTAGACGTACGTATCTTCCTTTTTGTTGCTTTTTTTTTTTAATTTACGTAACGATGAAATACGTGTAGATGTTACGCACATGTGCATTAAATAATCGTTTACTGAGAGTCATAATTATCAATCATAGAAGATTAATATGGAAATATTGATACAATGGAAATATTGTTATAATTGTATGATGGTATAGCGTACTGCTTTTGTTACCGTCGAGAGCTTAGCTACTCGTCGATAATTAAATCACTGATGATATTTGAATCTCCCATTCAATTAAAATTGATAGGGAATTTTGCGTTAATGGACTGATGTAGAGTTACCTATTTTTTCATTCTAATTATTATATTTCGTCTATTAAGTAAATAAATGTTTTAACGTATGACGTTTATAGAGATAGTTTTTGACGATCATTTGGAAAATTTCCAAAATAGACTGCAATGTTATCTTGTAATTGTAGCTAGTTAGCTTCCCGGTAACTAATCGTATAACGATGCGGAAAAATACGATTAGGTGTTTCTATGCGGCTCGCCATAATAGAGATAGCTTGTACATCATAATCGAGCCATAACCATGTGGAATGTATGTATACATGAGAACAAATCTAAGTGATTTAATGGAACTTTTCTTAAAGAGAAATTGACATATTTATTATGGAGATAATTACGAAAACTACTGTGGAACTCGTTAGAATTCCTCGAAATAACGCGAGAAACATCTTAATTGAATCGATGGCTTATCTTAATCATAACAATATATGTTGCTAATGACGTGATTTGCAATTTCATGAGATATCATGTTGTAAAAGTATAGTCATTTGAAGCGCTAGATTATTCGTCGAAAATACGTCAGACCCGTCAATTAATAGAAAATACAATATTGATAATATCCGAAATAGTAACTCGAACAAAGTACTCGGTTAAATTTAACGAATCGCTTCTTATTTGCTTGAGGAGGGATAAAACTAGATAACTGGAATTAGACGTATATCTGAAGAGATCTACATTAGTATTCTGACTTTCACTCTTCCAGTTCAACCGATTAACAAGAAGCGATTATCCCAATTTGCTGTGTGAATCGTTCTGTAAAGCGGCTCTGGAGGTACGGTTTAGAAAGAAATTAATGTCACTGTCGTACTAAACACAAAAATTCCCAACAGATCGTTGACGAAGTCGGAAACCGCCGCGCGTTTTCATTTGAAAATCTCGTGGATAATAAGCGCGTGTATTCTGGCTGGCAAACGGGACAACCTGGCTCATTATACGCTTCCGCTTGCAAAGAATCGATTAATCATGCGCGTTAAAGTGGATTTTACACGGTTCACTGTTGATGATACTCGCAGATCATATTTTATATATTCATTGTCATAGATTCTAATAATCTAATACATCTGACAGTCATACATTTGACCATTTTATAATTACTTCTAATGGGATATAAACACATACAGGGTATTTAATATAACTTTCGATTGTCAATCTGAGGTATCAATTTCGAACATTAAGTGTAGCTGCAAATATACTCAATACTTCAAAATCGGAAGGTCGCGAGAAATGATGACTTCCTGAAAATCGACTCCGTGTTTGTGCAAAATTCTGCCATTAGCTTCCCAAGTGAGATATATATCGTGTATGGAATATAGTGAACGTATAATTATGAAAACAATTTTAGAAGATTATTACGCCATGATTGCCTCATTTGCCTAGAACAGCTCTACTTTGTTTTAATTCAATCTTTTTTTAAATCATTCACACGGGATTATTCTAACCGGGATTATGGCCAGTAGCATGGCCGTGTAAATACGTATCTCTCGAAGTGCGTTGCACGCGTGTGTGCGTGCGCGTGCTTCCTCGTGCGCAAGTGGACTTGGCTCGATTAGTCGCCGCTGATTCTCGTGCCATCGATGCCCACCTACGATCTACGTCTCGTTTCTCTGTTCGCAGCCTGTCAGTGAATGGACGTCGCTGAATGTAGTCGAATGGATGTCAGCGCTAAATCTATACCGCTATGCGGACGTCTTCAAATCGAAGGACATCAAAGGCAGCGATCTACTTCATCTGGATCGGGAAAAGCTCATGGTAAGCGGATCATTTTAATTAGTTATTAGCATACCGGTCGTCCGTACATCTCGGGATTAAGGTGACCAATGTCGTTCGGCGGACTGAGGAGCCGTCTCGAACTTCGAATGTGGGACATTCGTGTATGTGTGACTGCTGTATCTGTATTGAATTATTATAATCAGGATAAATTTTATTTTATTAATAAATCAGATTCTTTAGTCTGCTTTTACTGTAACACAGTAATTCTGATAATAACAAGCAGATTATAATGAACGATTATAATGAATAGCAGACACTTAAATGGAGTAGGGCATGTCGTGGACGTTATTATAACGTACTCTACTTAACTTCGCTTTTTTTTTTACAAGTTCAATGCACCGATTTGGTAGCGACGTAACGATGTAGAATATTCATTAAAAATACGATATACCCATAAAGTAGTTAAATATAAATTACGATTGAAAATTACCAATTAAAGTAACTCGCAAAAAACTGCGAAGGTTACGCCGCAGATGTTTTTTTTCCCCTACCTTTTATCCATATTCCGCGAATTGCAATGATGAGATTAAACCGATTCCTACTCTACATTAATCTCTCTATTAATCTCGAAACAGTTATCGATTTAATGAGTGATAATGCACTGTTCTCATTTGTACGCGATTTTATCCGTTGGCAGTTAATTACTTAATTATGGAATTTTTCACGAATTTACCGACGACTCTGAAAGCACCGGCGGTTTTGCTAATGATATAGCCAGCCATTTTCTTCTTGATCGGTTAATTAATCCTTTTCCATTAATCGGCCACGGTTTAGAGAAATGCGACTCTGTTAGATGCTTATTGGAACTAATTAGCAGTAGGAATTAATGCACCGAGCTACTGCGCAAAGAGACTGCGTGAACCGACTGTTTATTTACCTTATTATCGAACGGAGAGATTTCTGTTCGGAGAAACTGTTCGCCGGTGAATCAAGCGATCTGAGTGGGGTGCTCAGATTCGATTTTTGCGATGAGCACCAACGATCGTGAAGCGCAGAATCACGCGGTAGAATCGTGCAAAAAAAAATGCAAATTAAGTTTCTTGCATTTTCGTGTCCCACTTGATTGAAATTTAATTCTGTGACAAACAATCGTCAGCAATTTGCTCTGAGCTATATTCCTACTTTTAGAATGCGCATATATTCAAATTCTTCAAGTTTAAATTCAATATATATTGCTGGCATGCAAGCTCAAACTCACACGTGGTATATTTGACCGTGAATACCTGCCTGATGACCGATAAATTTTCTGCTATTTATTCTGCAGTTGTACATATGTATTTTTATTTTTATTTTCGAAAGGAGGAGAAGTTGTCTTGAAACACATTTTATTTTTATTTCGGTGTAGATTGTCACATTTCCGAAATTAAATAAGTCGAGCTGTCTAAAGATAGGATAAAATTCGTTAATATTTTTTTCCTTTCGACTTTTACATCTTTCGGGTATCTACAAAAGTGTCGGAACACAGCTCCATACGAATCTCATATGAATCTTTATACGAAAATCTGCCGTTAACACACAACTTCAAGTTCTGAAATAAAAAAAGGAGTGGAAACGAAATCTTTTATTGCAAGTGGTAAAATCTTTTGATGTCTTCTTTTTTCTTTTTTTTTTGCTGAATCATCAGAGAGTCCTTGGTCTTCGCTCGTTTCGGGTCGCATCGAGAACGAAGGCGGAATCGTGCGATCGAAAATTCTTCGCACTAGTGCTCGGCAGAGACGATGACCTCGAGCTGAGAGTATCTGGACGACGTTTTCCTTGGCCCGTTGACCTTGTAATTGCCCTGTAGCGTCTGCTGGTGCGCCACAGTCGAGTCTTTATCGAATCCCCCTCCCCCCTCCCTCTCGATATGTATATATATCTCTTTCTCTCTTGCACCCGTTCTGCGTCGATTTTTCTTTATCGTCGATCGCGGGTGACCCGGAGCTTTCGGATGCTTTCGGGTTCGGCCGATTTTCTTCTTCTCGTCTCGCCGCGCGAAGAAAACTCCCTGCCGACCGGACTTATCTTCAGCAGCGCTTACACATCTTATTGCAAAGTCTAACACGCAAAATCGATACATTACGTACGGCGGGAGGAGGGCAGAAGGCAGCTTGGATTTAATGAGATCACACTTTTGCTGCGCGTCATTCCCTTGTGGGATACTCTTATCGTGCTTTTTATTAACTTGTTAAGATTTGAGAGAGGTCTTTATTTAAGACGGGCAAGGTTGGCTATGATACGATTTTTGTACATCTGTCACGATTCTATTACCACGCGCCTATCCTATTTCCGACGCAATCGCGCGACGCTCGATCTGCATCGTTATCAGTGCAAAACATTGTGGTAGAATTACCGCATAATGCACGAAAAATGCGAAATATGTAATTTACCGCGCGTGCCGCGCGCACGAAGTATCGCCGATAATTTATTATTTATAACTCCCCGCGTTTTCGACATAAGTAACGATATATTTATTATCGCGTCTCCGCCATTATTATTCTGCATATCGTAACGGAAAATTTAACAACATAAAAAACAATTTGAAAGAAATCCTTTGTTAAATCTTGAAAATGTTTACACAAAACAATGTGAATTATTATATTTACTTAATAATCATAATTTATTTGTAAAGAAATATTGATTACAAAGAATTAAGAAATATTTTTAACCATAAAAGATAAGATATATGAAACGTACATTTTATGATTGATAACGCGCTGAAAAAATATTAGATAAATGTTGCAGTCGTGAAAGTGTAGCCTTTTAATATCGCCAGCGTGCAACATAAAGTAAATAAATTCTTTTACGAAATATATCACAAAAACAACTTCATTATAAGATGAACTTTTTAACTTTTTGAACTTTATTATAAGATGAAGTTGTTTTTATGATATTCTATATCTGCCGATATAAATTTTTTTTATATCTGCTGATTAAGTTTCGTTTTATTTTTTTTTTCAATCTCTTAATTACCGCGCCGTGCATAATTAAAATGCTAAATAAATGCTTGCCGCACTGGAAATGCCCACACACATATAGCCGAGATATAAGTATAAACTCTGCGAAACGTTTGCATTTCTATGGAGCACAATGCAAAGGCGCTTTTTCCGACGTTGCGCGACGCGATCTTTTGTATCAGAGAATTTGTTCATAATGATTCAGTAGCGTAGCCGAGATTATTGCATTTTTATGCAAGTCTTGAATATTAATGTCATATTGTCTTCCTACCTCTACATTATACGTTTCAGTCAACACCGAATTAGTTCTCTCAAAATAAGTACTCGTGTCGACAATACGAGCGTGTTGCCGGTACAATTAAAAAATATTTGATTCAATATCAAGAGTGTTTAGTGGACTGTGGAGCGTAATAATTTCATCTTTCGGCGTGCCTTCCGACATTTTTTAAATGTATGAGGAAAGAGAGGCGCAGCGGGTCGGTGTAATAGCGAGCTAAACTCCTCTCTTATATTCCCGCCGCGCGCGGTAGCTACGCCGCTGTAATGATCGCATCGTGCATGCGTTTTCCCCGCGCGTTACCACGCGCCGCATTATCATAATTATGCGAGAGGCCCGCGCGCGGAGTAACGGGTCGAGACGGACAATCGAATCACACCGGTTGGCCGGTATTGGCCCGAAGTTCTCGCATCGATGTTCGCCGTGGGAAAACGGGCGTTTCTTCGAACTGTAATTACGCCCGCGTTTTCCACGGCGGCGGCGGCAGCCGCGGCGCAAGTCGGTAATTGCGACCATTCGCTCGCGCGAGCATATAATAAAAGCGGTTTGAATTGCAAAAATCCGCAAATGGAATCACGCTCGAAAATCCGGGCGCAGATTAAGACTAAATTAGGATGCGTTAATTAGACCGAATCGTTTACCGATTGATGCGGAAACGTTACTGGGTCGAGAAACTAATGTCGCATCCGGGGTTTGTTTGCGTCGATCGATTGTTACGCTTAGGATCTTGAAGTGCCAGTTTGAAACTCTCGCTCCGAGATATACGTTCGTTGCGATTTGGAAATGAAGTCGCTGCTAACTTTTATACACCTCCATGGGAATTACGTACGTTGGAGAATTTTTCGGTAGATCGTCCCGTGGTTTCCGATTATCGATCTTCCTCAAATAGGGACTCCTCTCGTGAATTTAGTCTCGGCGCGCATTTCTCACAGGGCAAAAGTGCGCCGTCTCGCCAAGGTTACTCCGAGCGTAAATCGCGTATTATCATACTAATTGACTCGTAAATCGACACTGAATGTTCTTTTGCGAGAAATCGTTTGAGTCTCTCTCTCTCTCTCTCTCTCTCCCACTCAGCTTGTCCTTCGGCCAGATTTTCCCGCTGCGAACGCGCGGCGAGACAATAAAAGAACGTATCTCCCTTAATTTTTTTTTCGCGAAAGGTTTCAGAGGCGTTCTCACAGAAGCATTCGCCACCGCTCTTCCGAGGGATTTCTTTTTAATTCGCGGTTTTATTTCACGTCCGACACATCAGTTAAGGGACTCCCGTTACCAGGAATTATTTTATTGAAGTGACTTACAGCGGACCTTTCTAAAATAAAATCTGCTTCTTATAGTACCCCTTGACGTTTTTGTTTGCGCGAGAAATAAACGGGGGATGCAAAGTTTGCGCTCGCGTATCCCGCGCGGGCGCACTTCTCGGGCAAATTCTCTCCCCGTCGTCGCGAAACGGCGAATTCTCTGCCCGAGCGTTTCTTGGCACTTGGAATAAAATAACGAGCGCGTCAAATTTTATCGCCGCGTTCTCGCACGGCCGCGTAATATATCGATCACTTTACTTTTGCCGGCTTGTCGCCGCTAATAATAGCGTTTGGCCCACTGCGCGCCGTGGCGCCGGCCGAAATAGCGCGCCATCGCGCGAGAATGCGCGCGCGCCCGCGCACACGGCCGAATAATTTGAAAAAGAAGCCAGCTGCCGGAAGTGCTCTCCGCAGAGCTGGATTTATTTTTCTTGCGATACCGAGACAATTTACGCAAAATGAGATCGCGTTCGCGTTCATTTTCCGTCTCCCGTTCAACTTTTCTCTTGAAATCTCCCTTTTACACAACTCCCTCTTTGTCTCTTTGAAGAGGAGTACCATCTTTTATCAAAGGGACGACTGTGTTGAAATTTGCGTCATACAGATAGTTCGCAACGTAACGTTTAAATTTTAATAATTGGAAGGTATATTAGGTTCAAACGAAATAAAGCAAAGGAAAAATTGCCAATTTAAGCCAACACAAGGTGAAAGTGTGTACAATAAAAATGTATTGTATATTAATTTAATGATAACTAGACATTTTGACTCTTAATTTTGGATCATCTTTGAAGGTTATTCCTTTGATTTAAATTTTACGTTAACGCCTCACGCTTTCGTAGGAATTTACTAAAGAGTGTATGTGCTTCCCACTTTCTAATGTCTTTTTAATTTGTACGTTTCTTAAACGAGATGTTAGATTCCAAGACCGAATCGTTAAATTATAGGAGATGGAAGACGCAATTTCCTCAGTCAGACGCGTCGATGAGGTGTTAAAAACAATGCGACTCGGGTTAAAGCTTGTGGAACGCTTGTAAATGTAGCGCAAAACGCGGGGGAATTTAAATTGCGCCGCGAGCGCGGAAAGAAAGCTGCGGTCAAGTGATTCAGCGGGACAATATTAATAGAGGGGACTTCCTGGAACTCTTGTGCATCGATATGTTGGATCGGTGTGGGTCGATGTGGGTCGATTAAGATAACGCGATTAATGCCGCGACTAATCGCACGACGATTATCTCATCAAGCGCGCCCAGTAGCAAATATGCAATTCACTGACGTATATGATTCTGCATCGCACGAAGGTTGCGGACATTTTTACTCTCGCCTCTATAATCGAGCGGCTTGTTAACACATTTGACGAGTTCTTAACACATTTGCACGTTCCACCGCGAGCTAGAACGCTGACTGAGAACGTAGAAACACGGAATTTCAATACGTTTCGCTTCGTATAGAAGTTACGTTTCAATTCTAATTTTAATTACAGTTTCCACAAGCTGTTCTATAATTATCATATTTGTTTCAACTATAATTTGGTCTCTTTTTTTTTAATTAATCGTTTTGAAATCGATTCTGGCAGGGGACATTTAATGATAGACGTAATTATAGAGCAATATCGTATACATACCTACATACATTTTTATCGTATTTTTTTTTAAAAGGGGTATTAAAATTTGTGCCAACTATACTTTGTCTGTGTGGTAATATTTGCCGGCATTCTAAAGTCGTTCAATTCTTCATTGACGAAACTGTTTCGGTCTCATTTTTCTCTTTCCTTATTATCGAAAATACGTAGAGATAACACGTTGATCAGCTACCGTCGGCATTCCACAAGTGGCATTCCCGGACAATCAAAGACACCGATCCGAGCCATTAACACGCTGTATGACGTATTTCGCAACAGAGATTACGGATTCGCGGCCGGAGCGACTGTAACGGATGACAAAAGCCTTTTGGGCTCTCCCCGAAGGTCTCTCCATTACGCGAATGCGACTCTCTCGCATCGCAAATTCGCGAACCGCGGGGTGCATTATACCTCCTCGGCGAGCGCCGCGCCGCGCCACGCCGGTGCTGCAGGTATTGTGCAGCGGTGCACACCCGACACCTGTTGCCTTGGCCGTGCTCTAGGGAAAACGAGATGCCTGCTGGGAGAGAGAGAGAGAAAGAGAGCGCGGAGAAAGAGAGCGAGCGAGAGGGTCGTAACGACGCGTATAAATTACGATCGCCCGTTCGGCGTGTGTTCACCCCTTTTACGAGCGCGGTGCTCCCGACTCCTCAACGTCCCCCTTGACTGATTTACCGCCGCGGTACCCGCGAATTATCTCTCCCCTTTTCGCTCTTTTTGCGATATCGCCTACTCTAAGGGAGTATTTTCCGCGGCTTCGTCCGCGAAAAAGGGAGGCGGCACGCTGTAATTTATAACGCGAACGATCGCGAGCGATCTCCGCGGGGCCGGGACTCGGAAAGCCTGAAACTTGCAGTAAATTTGTTGAACAGGTCATATACCAATACTGAATACTAGCTTAAAAGACTGGCGTAAAAAGCGTGCGGCGTACGTAATAATATAATTACGAAATAAAATGCAAAATGTATACTTTGCGGCGCGCGCGATTGAATTTTTATAACCAACGGATGAAACAGCACTTTGAAGTTAAAAAAATTGGAGCTCCCTCGATCGAAAATCTAAAGTTACCTGTTGTTATTCGTTATACAAATGAATTATATATATTGCTGCGCCTGTACTGACAGTTTTACGAATCATTCGTTAAAGAGAAATAGTTGACGAGAATAAATGTTTTAAACCGTTACATCGAAAAAATAAGTCGTGACATTACGGTTTATTTAATTTTTATAAAATGGTGCGATGATAGCGCGATATCGCAGCGGCCGAAGCGTTTTAACGAAGGACCTGCAAAATTATTCCGTTTGTGAATGTCTAGTGGACAATTTCCGTCGGCGAAAAAGTGGGCCAGTGGATCTTAATCGGTCCGCTATCTCCGAAGCGTTGAACTCTCGTTAGCGCCCGGGTTATTTACGACAAGCGTATTATTTTCCCTCATTAGTCACCTTGTAACTGTCTCCACGCTTGACTTTGTCAAGCGTTATGTGCTCGCTCTTTATAGTCGCGCCGTCGCAATCTTGGCTCGCGCTACACCCTTGCAGATTTACAACCGCCATACGCGCACGTTTTCGCCGGCAGTGCGGCGGAAGAGTCGTCGATTCGGTCCGTGATTCTGTAGAATTGATCCCGAAGGACCCCGCCATCTTCCGCAGCGCGAGTGACATTAAATCGATGAAAAGTTACACGAATGCCTGAGGTTGTGGTCTTCAAGTATTCAAATCGAAAATTTATAATTTCATAGTTTGCATAGAATTTTTATTGTATGCAATATATTATGTTTAAGTATAACGTTATGTTATACTGAACAGATATACATTGTATTTCAGTGTTATATATATAATGATTATTTTTCAATTAATTGCATCGACCTTGAAAACTAAGCCATCTAAATTCATTTGAAATTTCAATTTAGCAAGAATGCACGTTCTAATTTTAAGTATTATTTTTTAATAAGACTTAAATATTATAAGAAATAAAGAATTTTTTTTCCCTATAATGGAACAGATTTTGGAATATTTTTTATTTTACATTTTTATATTATATAATATTTTTATTATTAGAGTTAATTAGCGTTTGTTATGAAAAATCACTATAATGATTCATTGAAAATTTGCGTTAGGGAAAAAGAGACATTATTATCGTTGAGTCATTAAACATATTTTAATATCTCAGTTATCAATTCATGATAATATATTTATTTATTTAAATCATGTGTAAAGTTATACATATAAACATATGAAGCAGAATATCGTTCTTTGATTAGACTAGCGTTTCATTTCTCCTTGCAACTATATTAGTTTCTTTTATTTGAAGTTCTATCGTCATGGCGAGACGATTAAATTCGCACAGTAACGTGTTTTGAAAGAACCGAATCCATGTTTTTCTCTGCATTCGAACGCATGCAAGACATCGTGATTTCATGTTGCAGAATATGGGTATAAAAGATGACATCCATCAGAGGAAAATTTTGGTGTGCATCGAGGAACTCTGCAAAGCGCCCCCGGTGGCGATGGAGACGATGGGCTCGGCGCTCAGCGCGACGGCGGCGCCGGCACCCGGCGTCGCCGTCGAATCGGCCTGCTCCCTCGGAGTCAACTATTCGGGCAACAGCCTGGCCAATAACGCACACAATCTCGTGCCGCACAGCTTCAGCGTGTTGGAGAAGTGCGGCAAATGCCATAAATACCTCAGGGGTCTCTTACATCAAGGCTTCCTCTGCCAAGGTACGTTTCCGCCCTTTTATCGACGTCTCGCGACCTTTCTTAAGTCCTAATCCATTCGGGTGCCTTTTTTGAATAAACTGAACTTTACATGGATGAGACGCGCGAAAGAGCTCGATCTTGAATCACTTCGCGCACTTTAATCTTTTGCGTTCGCCGGATTCTTGCGCGCTTTCGGGAGAATTATAACAAATTAGTTACATTGTCGTATCTTTAATTCTTCAAATTAACTTTTATATTTAGTACACACGATGATTTTTCAAGCCTTTACTACATGTACGATTGATCGTTCATGTCTGAGTAAAAGTTTCATTATTTTTACAAGTATACAAAAATTATTAAGTGATTTTTACATATATTTTAACTTCTTTATAAACTATTTGTAAGATTGTGTATTAAAAAAAATGTATATAAATGTTATAAATAATTACAGTCGACACACGATCGTGTGTACTAAGGAGACGTAAAACCCAATCGTATGTGCGAAGAGTTAATAGTTTATTCTTAATGAATTTATAACATGTGTATCTTTGAAAAAAAAAAGTTACATAGTTTCTAAAAATTTTATAAGAGAGTTGTCAAATTTATCATCGTCAAATATTTCTACATTCGTGTTTACTCTTGCGTGACAATCGCGTTGAATAAAATTCTGAAACCAGAACAAGTGAATTGAAAAAAAGGGGGAAGTATGCGCGTTTTTCACGTTGTTGATCTCGCGAATTTTCTGCGTTGCACAGATTGCGGGCTGGTCGCACACAGGACGTGTTCAGCGACGGGTTTACCTTCCAATTGCATATCGGTCGACTCGGACAATCGTATCAGCAGGTTTACTTCAGGTAAGTCACGTCGTTCGGATTGCAACGCCGCGTGCCGTCGCAGTTGCGAGTTTTACAGCGAGGCACACGGGACATTAATCCTTCATCCGTGTCTCTAATGGACAGAACACGGAAAGACGCTGAAAAATTTAGTTGTCTTCCAAAGGCGAGGGGAAATGTTGCGTCAGAAACACGATCGCTAGCATCGTAACCAGCTCGTGTGAGTTACGAAGTTGACGGCAAGGACGCCCGTCCTGGCGCCTCGCTTGGCCGGTCGCTCGCACCTCGTTTATGATAACCTGGATCACTTTACGGAGGCTTGCACCTCACGGCTGACGGCTTTCTTCCATTGAAATCCCGCGCCGTGGTCGCGTGGGAGTCGCCTCACTTGCTGGCATTTAATGATCCTTAACCGAGCATGCGGGTTTCAACACGGGTTTTGCCGTATACTCGCTCGGCAACGCGTTCTCTCCACTTTGCAAAAACTGTCTACGGTGTGACGTTACGGGAAAACGGTGGTCTACAACATTTCAGCGGATTCAATTTATTTCCAGTTCGATCTTTGTTATCGTACTTCCGCAACTCTGTCAAAACATTCGCATTTCCATATATACAAGATGCTGAAGTATATTTGTTTCTAGAAAGAAACGGAATAGTCTTCGGGGGAAAAAAGACGAAATTTAAAAAGAAAGAAAATTTTATCTTTTCTACTATTTTACATTTTGTGATATAGATAGGTACAGGGTGGGTATTACCGGGAAAAACCGAGAAAATCGGGAATTCTCAGGGAATTTCATTTTTACCCTTGAAAATCATGGATTCTCATGGAATTTTACTGGTACTCAGGGAAATTTTTTGAATTTTATTTTTAAATTTAATTTTATGCAAAATTAAATTTAAAAATAAAATTCAAAAAATTTCCCCGAGAAAGTAAACGTGGCCCCATATCGAAGGTTTCTGATATTGAAAGTTAATTTATTTTAAAATTGACATATACTATATAAAGACTCTTCAATCTAAAAAACGATAATCTGGAAATAATAAATCAGGCATTAGGAGTCTAATAACGCAGAATTTGGTATGCGTGAAACAATTTAATCTTCACATATGTAGTTACATTTCCATACTAAATCTTTTGTTACGTTCGAAAAATTTTGTATGGAGACGTAACTATTGTACATATGAGAAGATTAAATTGTTTCACGCACCAAGTTCTATACGTTATTAGAACTCTTAGTGCCTAATTTATTTTAAAGCTGTATTGAGAAATTCTATAATCTTACCTGGAATTTTGAATAAAAATCCTAGAAAATCCGGGAATTTTCAGGGAATTCTTTTACAAAATTTGAGTACCCACCCTGAGATATTATTTGATACATTTACGATCGACATTTCGCGTGAATTGGCTTTCAAGATGCTTTGTCTATATTGCATATATTTTTTTAAGTTAATCATTAGTTATTGTTCATTCTCATGCCGATAAACCGATCTCTTAGAGCGACGGGAATTTTCTTAAGTCACGCCGGTCGCCAGCTGGAGGTGCGATGTGTGCCTTTGACGGCGAGTTGGTTAAACGGCGCGAATACCCCAGACGACGATAATCGGCAGAGACAACGCAGGCAAGGCACAACGCTCGTGCCGTCAACGCGCGCCTCCAGCGATGCATTTAATTAACGCTGCACACGCCGCAGCGCGAATGACGGAATCGAATATTTGTGCATAGCAAAACCGCGAGCGCGGCGCCAGCCTTCAGGGCCATGTCACCCCGTCGCCCCGCTGCCCCCAATCCCTCATTCATTTATTCTAACCGTTCCCCCGTCGCCAATTGCGTTTGTACACACCGCGCGACGGTGCATCGATCGCTCGGAATTATCGTCCCGTTGATAACGTCGTTTGTCCGCGACGCGACCAATTCGCGGCTGCGACGAATAACGAATAAGAGAATTGATCTAATTTGACGATATTAATGGACTGGACTTCATTTCTCCGCGGTGGAGAACCATTGGGGAGAGAGAGGGAGAGAGAGTGAGGCAGTTTCGGAGGCCGCCCCGGAGTATGCAGGACGTTTAATTACGCCTTGATTTCGTTATCCACTTCATCCGGAAATCCGCCGCCGGGGGAGGTCGGATCTAATGAACTCCCGTTTTAACGACCTCAGAAACCGTGACCCCTTCCCGCCCCCTCTTTCTTCCTGAGGGATCGCGGGCAATCTAATTCCGCGTTTTACCGAGGAAAAAAAAATCGTTTGCATCGGCGCGGTTTCCGCGCGCACGCGCGCGTCACGGCCGGTCCCGTTCGCGCGAACGATTGTCGCGTCGGCTCCGGTTGATTTGTAGTAATTGGTGGCGTTTAATCGCTTACACGCGCGAGCGCGGGCGTGCGCTTGCGGGCGAGTCGTCAGCGCGCGACCCGGTCCGCACGCCGCGCGCGTAGAGGTGCAACGACGGCAATTACGGCTTCTCTCTGCCCGAACAAAAATTCAAGTCACGTGCGGTACCGCACGCGCGCACTCGCGGTTGCGACTTCGACATTGACGGTCCCGCACAACAAATTGCACCTGCCTCCGCGTCTGAAAAGTTGATTGAAAATGACGCGGCGATCGGCTCGAGGCTCTCTAATTGCATTCGCCTCGGTACCTCGCTACGGCGCGTTCTCGTATAGCGCTCGGCCTCTGGTTACGTGTATACTTATATATCGCGCTAATTCAACGCTCCGCGGAATGAATCACGCGTGATCTCCGTGATCTTCCTCTGGACTTGCCCCGATTTAAGGTTATCGAAATTCGAAATCGCTACGGTCTCTCGGCGGGGATTCAGGATTCAAAATCGATACCTCGTGTAAAATCCGCGTGCTCCGGAAGCTGCGAAATCCGCGTCCAAAATCCGAGAGAGCTTCGCGCGCCTCGTGTATTTACTCGCGCCGTTGATTTATCCGAGTCCGCGATTCGCAGCGGGATTCTCTCGCTGTTACGCGCATCGCCGAGCAACATTCGAATTCGTGACGAATATCGAATAGCCCGACTGGTCTCTCTCCGCCTTGAATCCGCGCATAAAATTCATGTGCGTGCCTACGTTCTCGTATAGATCGTGTTTTAATTCTGATTTTTTGTTCTTCTCTCGCTCTCCTCCCCTCTCGATCACTCGTCCTTCTCCGAGAGAGAAAGAAGAAGATACGGTCATGAAGAAACAAGACGTCGCCGTCGCGGTCGTAAAAATAAATTTCTTTCCTCCTCCTCTTCCCCCTCCTACACAATGTTCTGTTCGCTCGTCCTCTCTCTCTCTCTCTCTCTCTCTCTCTCTCTCTCTCTCTCTTGTCATAATGCACGCGTCTTTGATTGTACAAGTGGCGTTGTACGCGCGGGCACTCGCGGGAGACCGAGAAAGCGAAGAGAGAAAACGGGATCGTGCAGTCTGAAAATATGATCGCGCCGTATATCCTCGCGCGAAAATAAAGTCAAAGGTTCGTCAGCCGTAATAAAACGAGGGGGGGAAAAAAAAAGAAGAGAGAGACGGGACGATTGAAGAAAGAGGCGCGGGCGGCCGTAGGCGATAAAACAGCGAGGAGCGGCTTGTCCGCTTGGGCGCGAAAATCCGCGGGGAACCGCCAAGGAATTCCTCCTGCTCGAGCATTCCTCGAGCGGTGACCGCGGGCGTTACGCAATTTCGTCGTCGTCGTCGTCGTCGACGCTTTGTCCTCGCCGAATTTCGCGGCCGTCTCGCGACGCCTCTTCGTCGGATAAAGAGAAGCGCTGTGCCTTGCTTCATCCCGCGATCGATCGCGTCTCGCGCACGACGTGCCACGATTCTGACGCTAAAAAACGAAAGAGACGAAGAATAAATAAGAAAGAAAAAATACGATACATGAAAGAATGCTCGTTGCCTCCTTTAGTCGCGTTATTGGTCGCACGTTACAATGTTGCGTTTAGAGACGCAGGTTTCAGCTTTTATAAATTCTCGCTTGGAAAGAGAGACGATACCTCAGGCGGCGTAGCAGAGAATTTTGAAACGCGAGACGTACCTTAGGCGCGGCGCAGAGAAAGAGCACGCCTAAGGTACGTCTCGCGTTTCAAAATTCTCTCCGCCGTGGCCGTGCGGGCGCGCGTGCAAAGAATTCACGGAATCGCCACGAATGTTTTGTCCGCGCTTTGCAGTGTTCGGCCTCGCGCTGTGCTCGCAATTCGACACCGCCAACCGTGCGGCGCCGATCCTGGTGGAGCGATGTACCCGCGCCCTCGAGGAGCAGGCGTTCGCCGACACGACGCTGGACCTCTACAAAGTCTACCACAGCAACTCCAATGAGCAGGTCCTCGAGCTGCGACAGAAGCTGAACGAAGGTAAGAAGAACGGGCCGCGCGCCGCGCCGGCAGGTCGGATCGCGCGATCGCGCGTGCTATAAATAGCCGGCGGTCGTGCCACGAAGTTCGGCTCGCGGGTTGCAAAAATGTCGAGGCGCGCCACCAGATGCATGCTGCATTGTGGAGGGCCCTCTCCCTCTTGCCGCCTTGCCCCTCCTGAGAGGGAGGGCGCCAGAAAAGCGCGCTTATATTTCGCGCGACAGATCAGAGATTTCAGGGACAACGAACGAGCGCGGGGCGGGATTCGCGAGCTCCTGTCGGGCTTTGAGAGACAAAGGTCCGGTCCCGCGTGTCCCGCGTTCGGCGATAAACCCTAACATTTATACATGTACATCTTCGAAACTTCTTTTTTAAAGTTTCTCGCGACGTTGCACGGCGCGTGAATCAGTTGTTTTCAGAGTGATGTTAAGAAAACTCCCACATTTTCTGAGAAAGACAGAGACTGCTGCTGTCTGTATTATATCGTGCGTTATGTCGTGCAGATTTAACCGCTGCGCTTAAAATGTCAAATTGTCCGCCTAACATTGAAAAGCTGCGTTCAACGAACTGAGAATTTATCGATTTAATGTATATTTGCTTACGATCATTTTAAAATATATACATTTAAATATACTTTTTTTCACAGTTCCTCTAAAAAGATCAAATTTTGCAAAATTCAATGAGATGAAAACATTGGAGTTCATAAATAAATAGAAATTTAAATATATATAGGATTAGAGATAACTTAAAATAGATATTAATTAAAATGAACGATTTTTATAATTAGACATTAAAAGCTTTTGTAATGTTTCGCTCAAAATTACTCAAAATTACGTGTACAATAATTAATTATTGATATAGAGTTATCATATCAATATAAGTAATTATATTGATATAATGATTTTAAGTTAGAAATATCAATAACTTTTTGAGTGACGAATAGAGCCGGACGTAGAGCAACATAACGTAATATTTTCAGATGTCTGCAACGTGGATTTAAGTTCATACTCTCCCCAATGTATTGCCAGTATCCTGAAAAAGTTTCTGCGTGAATTGCCGGACCCAGTGATCCCGGTGCAATGGTACGACAGGTTTCTGGATGCGTCGAGTGAGTATACACACACATATTTCATAATTAAATATTTTTTTAAAACCGGTTATCACGGTTATCATTTTTTTCATTATCATAATCCGTCGTTCGATTGCAAGCGTCCGAATCTGTTTACGGTTCTCGCAGGTATGAGAGGCGACGAGCAGTGCGCGACGCGCCTCAATCAGTTAGTAGCGGAGCTACCGGAGCAACATCGTAGCACATTGCACCATTTGATGGCGCACTTCTGTCGCATCTGCCAGTTGCAGCACGGAAGGGGCTACACGGAACCACCGACCATTCTCGTGCAAGTGCTCTGCCATATAATTCTCAGGCCGCCCTGGGAGCGAATCATGTGAGTGCCACGTGGATTCTTTCGATCGCGGGGAGACAACAGAGTTGAGCGTGGTTCACACGATCCCTTTTTCTTTTTTTTTTTTTACTGGCGACACATTATAGTGACAGTGCGCTAGTAGATCCCTAATAAAGCACCGGTGTATTCGTCGACGCTAGTAAATAGTTTGCTTTCCATCTCGACTCGCAGGCTAAATTATGTTAAATTAAAAGAATGTGACTTTCTAATTTGCTAGCATTGGGTTACTTAGTTTTCTCCTGCAAAAAGCACTGATGTAGATTCCAGGGTTTAATATCATTACATAAGTATATGATACTGTCATTGCGATAAAAAAAAGTTAACTGGTTTTACGACTATATTACTACTAATAGATAAGATTACGCTTGTCCAACAGAACACCTCGTAATGCTTTGATTACGAAGAATTTAGCACTTTGCACTGCGCAATTTTACAGCCAAGTTATTCACAACATTGAGGCACACATACGCATAATGGAATTGCTGCTACTGCACGGCGATTGGAACGAGAGGCTACCGGAGTTTGCCAGCCCTCCGCAATTGCCGCCGCGTAAAGTTTCGAGACCGCAGTTTCCGATTTTGGACCCATTCCCGGAAGACGAAGCTGTAGACAGAACAGCACCTGGTGCGGATACTGGCAAGGACCAACAGCCGCACAGGTGATCTTCAAATCTGATTCTGATTTCAATCCAAATCTTAATCTAAGTTACAAATTTGTTTCTAGTTCTAATTCTACATTGAAACTAGACTCTTCTGGACTCTTTTAACTCCGATCTTTCTTTCAACTTAACTTTAACTACATTCAATTTTAATTCTCTCTGTTTTTCCTCTTCCGCGATTAATTTCTAAGATAATCATTATCTTTATGACAATTATTAATTGTATGGTATAAATTACGACTAGTCGTAATTATTGCCGGAAAAATTCTAGGCCGCGCACGCTACAAGAAGCCGAATGGTATTGGGGTGACATCACGAGGGAGGAGGTGAACGAGATGATGATCGACTCGCCGGACGGCACCTTTCTGGTGCGCGATGCGTCTTCTAAGAGCGGCGAGTATACTCTGACGCTGCGTAAAGGCGGGACCAACAAACTCATCAAGATCAGCTATCGAAACGGAAAATATGGATTCTCGGATCCCTATAATTTCCACTCGGTTATCGAGTTGGTCGATTACTATAGGAACTGCTCGCTCGCACAGTATAACTCGGTGCTGGATATTAAGCTGCTCTATCCGGTGTCGCGATTTCAACAGGTATCCTCCTCGAATTTTTCGCTTCACGAGAAACGATTGTATTGTGTTCATTCTTCAACTTTATTCTATCTTGTTTATCTTTATATATCGTCTTAAATTTATATTCTTTTCTTGTTTAAAAAAAAAAACAGGATGACGAGATCGCAAATACAACCGACATGGCAAAAGTCATGCAGAAGTTTGTCGAGTTAGACAAGGAAATAAACGATGTAATCCGGCAGTATCAAAATTGTTCGGATTTGTACAGCAAAACGGCCTATGAAGTCCAGTTGAAACGGCAGGCATTGGAAGCATTCACGGAGGCTATCAAGATGTTTGAAGAACAGATGAAGTTGCAAGAGAGATTCCAGAAGGAAGCCCAGCCCCACGAGATTTCTACGTGAGTTCCCTGTTACTAGTATTATCTAAAAGATATTTATATTTTTAAATTTTTATGAAAAATGTAAAGATAAACTTGAAATTTTCCGTTTCACTATTTCATTATGATTGCATTGACATTCGTGAATCTCATACAGGAAATAATGAAATAAAAAAATCATTGATCATGCTATTATATTTGATAATTACAGTTTGACAGACAATTCGGAACTGCTGAAGCGAAGACTGAATGCCTTAGAAGATAGCAAAGAACAGCTAGATGAAAGTCTGAAGCAACAAGTCGCCTACTACAGGACCCTTGAGAGAGAAATGTATAAGCTAAAGGCGGAGATTGGATTGCTTGTGCGGCAAAAGGACCGCCATTCTTCGTACGTATTCGCTTTTTATTCGATCTGCAAGTTAAAAATTTCTTTTTATCCTTACATCGGAAAAACCAATCTAATTTCGTTCGATTTGTGTCAAACGTTGCAGATGGTTGAAGAAGAATGGAGGAATAAAGCAGAACAAGGAGGGGTTGGACCTCGAAGTCCATTCCAACGAGAAGAAGTGGATGTTCTTGACGGGTTCTCGTACCGATGCCGATCATATTCTAAAGGGCCAGCCTGACGGCACCTTCCTTGTTCGCCGATCGAGAACGGGCCAATACGCGCTCTCCATAGTGTAAGTATTTTCTATTTTCCTATATAAGTGAAAGGGTAGTTTAAAGCAAGAATAAATTAGAACAGACGATTACAGATTACCTCGCGAGATTGTAACATGGATAATAATAGAAGTAAGACGCGAATTGTTTAAAACAGATGTTAACCTTTTTTTTTTCGAGGTTTTGGTCGAGAATTTAGATAATCCAATTTTAAAGATAGCGTATTTCGTCGGCTGAGAGTTTCACGGTGCCATGTGTTATTCGAGAATCGTGATGTTACAGGTGCAGTGGCACGGTACAGCATTGCATAATATACGCCACCGAGCGCGGCTACGGTTTCGCCGAGCCGTACAACATTCACGAGACCCTGAAACACCTAGTGCTGCACTATGCCCAGAACTCCCTGGAGGAGCATAACGAGTGCCTGACCACCACTCTGGCCTATCCCGCATTCGCCACGTCCACGGAGCTCTCGAAACTCCAGGCCGACCAGAAGCAGCTGCAGATCCACATTCAGAATCAGTCGTCGTTTGTGCGGCCGCCCCACGAGAATCAGCTCGTCTTGCCGCACACATAATATTGGCCTGCCGAGCGTCGCGATCAAGATCCGCTCGAGTCCGAGTACGTTCACGCACGCGCGCACACCCACACGTGAGTTCTGCTGTTTAACAAGCATCAACTCGTCGACGCGATCGGCAGATCGACCTGCGTCACTGCGGGCCTTCCTTGATGAGTACGAACACGTTTCCGCCGCGAAACAGAACGCTCCTTCGTTCGGAACGTTTCCTAAAATCGCGTACAATAATTATAATGCGTATGTTTCACAGTGAGAGAAAACAAATCTCACGCGAATTAATATCGTGAAAGCACGCAATCTAGTGTCGGTTGCTTAATCATCATCGAGCGATAGGTAGGTCGCAAGATCTCCGAAAGCACGGAGCACTTCGACGAAGTGTATAATAGCCGTAACGATAGTAATCGTAAGAGATACTAGCGATAGAATTTAGATATACACGCGTTATCGCGATACGATAATGATCGCTTCGACTAAGGCAGAGGTTCCCAAACGGTGCGTCGTGACACCCTGAGAAGACGCGAAGAATGCAAGTGTGAGAAACAGATGAATTAAAATCCTGAAAGATAAGTCTAAAAGAAATTGAACCATTTTTTATACATATATTTTCGGTTATTATAAATATCTAAATAAATGTCAACTATTTTTTTCAGATATGTAAAGATAATTTGAAGGCGTAAAGCTCTAGAATTTTTTTGATCTTGAATCTTCTAAATCATCTTTACTTTGTAAATGTGACCAGAATGAATAAGCGTGGGAAAAGATTTGAGAATTTTGACTTGTATTCTCTACATGCATGATTAATGATAATTGGACATCTCGTATCCACGTTTTTGTATCCACATTATACAAGGATGAAACGCAAAGAAAATATCAGTTTCGAGCGATTAAGGATGTTTGGGAACCTCTCGACTAACAGGACCAACAATTACCAATGACGGATGTCAACGGCTCTCCTTCAGGGTTCACACGACGCGGAGGGTCGAAGGTCTGCGTCGACACTACGGCAGGATGGGTGGCGGTACGTTTCCGCCGCCACCGAGATTCTGTTCCTCGAAGGAACAGAAGGCGTTTTTCATCTTGTAATCGCGCAGAATTGATCCGCTCGGAAACATCGACACTGTAAAAGACACGCCGTCGTATCGACAGCGACCGGGATAGCGAGGTCCGCTTCGTTCGCGTAGATTCCATTGTTCAGGTAATCAGGGTAGTCGTACATATAATCGTCTAACCCTTAACAGCCTGAATCTTCCATCAGACGCTAAATAGCTCGTATCGGGCAGTCATTTAATTTGAAACTAACTTTGAGTTAGTAATTTGTTGTTGTTTAGCTACATAGTATATATCCATGTAGTTTAAATCGTGCTATTTTTAGAAGAGTCAGCTGAAATATTACAAAAGTTATTTATAAAGATATAGTATATTAATATCTTTTTCGAATTACTATGATTATAGCTCAATAAGTCACACAAGTTCACCGATCGAATGCCTATGCTACTGCAAACTGAGTTTATTACGTTAATATATCTCGTAAGGTGACCGTAAATGACATAATTTTTCGTGCAATACATTAATCCGAATCACGTGGTATCATTGTCTAATACTTTTTATTAACGTAACGCATTTCATTATCTTCCTACAAAACTTGCATTTGATATCAATATCAATTGATATCAATTCACACACGTTGTAAGAGGTTTGCGTAAACCTCATTGCGTACCATGTTTTAATATCGTTTATTTTAGGCTTTTAAGGGTTAAACGTTGTCTTTTTCGAAATATGATCGCTTTCTCGTTGCTCGAAATTCCCGATCGCTTCTCATACGAACGCCGTTCGCGACTCCAATGAAGGACGCGTGATGCGATTCGTATGAACGGCGCTGGCGTCTTCTTTTTTTTTGCGATACGTTGAATTATGATAGTGATATTAGAATGTAGTCCAGCGAAATTTACGTAAAAAACCGCGAGGCGTCTTTATACGATTTTATAGTAACCGTGAAACCTGGTCGCGAGAACTCGGCGGGTCCACTTTTCCTCGATGAGAAATTTATAAAGGACTGTTCCTTGGAATTATTAAAATATCACACTTGTAACACGTCTGACTGTATTTCAAGTTTCCTCAAGTCATTAAAGAATGGATCCGCTCGCCTCTCGTGGCCTAAATTTTCGGGTTTAATTGCGAAGGTGGACCGGATATCTCCGTCGTCCTTTCTCGATCGCGTTCCGTAGCGGATCGCGACAAAATTTCCTCGGTGAGAGAAAAAGAGAGAGAGAACTTTTTTTATACATTAGATTTCAGACATTACACCAAGCAAATTTATGAAAAAGGATGTGTGGTATATACATATGTATATATATATATATATATATATATGGTGCAGATATGAAAGAGAGAAAAGAGAGGAAAACGAAAAAAATATATATATATTCGAGTATATATCTATATATATTTTTACTTACTTTCAAAGCAAACCTTTAATTGATTATTTATAATATATACGTGCGTACATATGCATACATATATATTATGTATACACATACATATATATTATATGAACATGATAAAGTGTCGTGTTGTAGGTATCAATCGCGCGTCTCTCCGCGAGCCTCCTCGTCGATTGCGAGTCGATCCGCTCCTCGGGGAGGTTCGGGCGAGCGCGTCAAACAGGCACACACACGTGCGATCCCGCGATCCTGATGAATCCCACGGGATTCGTAGTGTCGATCGATTGTGCCGAGTCCAGTCAGGTCAGGTCGAGAAGTCGCTCGCCGAGAAGAGATCGACGCGACTCTTAACACGACCGTCTCGAGACTGTGCAAATTGGCTTTTTAATATTTTTGATAGACGTCGATTGTGCGCGTAATAATTTTTATCCTAAATTGCGAACGATCTAGCTTGATGTATCCTTTTTAAATTCGCGCGATAATTACGTGCTTCGCCTTATAGAGCTATATTCTCGGGAATAGAGGAATGCGTGATATTTTTTCATCAAATTTCATGAAGTTCACCATGTTCTTTCTGACGCGTGCGCGAGAGTAGTTCCGTTGAAATTTTTTTCTAAAATGAAGTATCACATGATGTACTATCCTCCTTCTCACCCGAGATATTGAGAACTTTTTCTCTCTACGAATTCGCCTAGCAAAAATCTCGCGCAATATTTTTTTTTATCAAACCCTTGTTTCTTCATCACATTTCTTCCTCACGCGATATATTTCTTCATCACAGCTTTTCGCACGTGCGAAAAAATCCTGCCGTTTCATTCGTTTTCCATATAGTACCAATTCACAACGAAGTTTTTTGACATGTTTATCCATCATTGCTAATTCACTATTAACACTACGTAAATTGCTCAAAGTCAGTCGTTTCAGAAGATTACATAGTGTTGATAAAAAATCTGAAGGCGTATATTGGAAATGTTGAAGAAATAAGAAGTAAACGGCAAGTTTTCTGTCCGAGATAAAAATTTTGCAAGTAAATTTTTAAGATAATTTTTTCACATTTTTTAATCTAAATAATGGATTGTATTACTGAAACTTAAAACTTGAAAGCTTTTTGTTTGAAAGATAAATAAACGTTTAGTGTCTATTTTTTCACTACTTTTTACTTGAATTATGATTAATTCAGATTTTTAATCGATACTATATTATTTTTCAAATAATATTTCTTCGGACAACAGACATGTCTTGAATGAACGGACGATCTTCGAGAACGATCTCGAGCTTCTCTTTCGAGAGAATGAAAATGATGCTGAAGCGTCTTGAAAGAATCTTGCCGTTATTTCGTATCAACAAGAATCGCGTGTGCGTGCCTATCAGTGATCATGGAAGGCGATTGGCGGATCATAATCACAAGCGCTAATAAGCCGTTATTGAAATCGATAAAATTTCGCGATTAGTTTCATTTTCTCGCCCTCATGGTTCCATTCATTTCGTAATGGCTGTTGTTTCCGAAAAGAAGAGAAATTTGATTGGCACTTTTAATTAATCCGCTAAAAATTTATTTTCTAATGCTGTATTTCGTATATAAATAAGAAAATGTTAGCTGTGTCCGGAAGCTAAGTCATTACACTCAAATGTCAAGATCTGAATTCATCGAAACTGTAGGAATTTCAATTAATCGCAATTTGCACTAACAAACGCTGTGAAGAGAAGAAAACTGATTAAGTCGAGGAAGAAGCGCACGAGTGTGCTCCTTTCTCCCTGCATGGGATGCGTATTTCGCGGAGAACAGAGAGGAGTGGTTCAAATATTTTCTTTCCATTATTTTTTTTTTCTTGTGAAAGCCGGACGCGGAGGCGACGTCGTTCTATGATATCCGAGCCGATTGCTCTTTTGTACAAAGAACGAAAAAAAAAGAGAAAAAGACGAGAGTGAGAGTGGTACTTCAGTGGCGCGTGAATGTTTTCGGCAGGACCGGTCCACGAAGAATGCTACCGTCGAGGTAGCGATCGAGCCGCGTGTCACCCCGGTGATGGCATGATGCAATAATAGTTAGGTGTATGAGGCTCGCCTTGGTGATTAATATTGAACAAGCGGACGATAATTTTAACGGCGATAAATTAATATTTCGGAGGATCGCGCGGGGAGAGCCCTTTATGATATCTAACATGCGCTGGAAGAAAAGCGTTTTTATCATACTTAACTATTATTGCACGTATGTGCGACGTCGACCGTGCGATTCGTCGGGTCGACCTTGCGCGTAACACCGAATCGTCCTGTGTCGCGTTGATTTGAGGAAATTAAATTCGGCATTGCGTTCGATCTGAAGGGGAAACTGTCGTGGCCGTTTATCGTCGAAGCGACGATTTTAAATATGTGCGTGAGCCTGGTCTTTTGATATGTGCTCGGAATCGAGTAAACAAATGGACGTGAGAGAATCGCGATTTAATGAAGAAAGGGCTGGCCCTAAGAAAAAAAAAAGAAGAAACGAGAGTGTGAAACCACGTGGAGGTACGTTTCGCCAAGCAACGCGCTTTCGCGTGTTGCATTGTGATCCCCGCGAATTAACAGCGGTAAGCGATAAAGCGAGAGAATAATAGAAAAGAAAGAGGAGGGAAAAAAACGAAAAGGGAGTGAATGGAAATAAACTTTGCCTTAGCTTTTGTACAAGCGAACGAATATAAGGGATTGCCGAGATAAGATGAGACGAGGAGAAAGGATGAGCAACCGGATGAGCGCGAAACTTCACGATAGGCTGACATAATTGATTCTGACGATAAAACCGTGATAAGAATTGATATATCTAATAAGCTGTTGTAGTGCGTGTGAGTGGGAGGGAGAATGAGAGATAGCCTTGCAGCAAGAGAGAAAGAGCGAGAAAGAGACAGAAAAAGAGATACGATAATAATCGAATTATGCGTATTTGCATGAAACGGCACGATTATACGATAATAAAATTCTCTCATGTTGGCCGAGCGCCGACACGCCGAGAGCATTTTTTCAAAGGATTGATATAAGGATAAAAATTGAAAAAGAGAGAGAAGCACAGCAACGTAGAAATTGAGTTAATCGACGCGAAACCGCTAATAAATCGATGTAATCATTGTAGACCTAATGATTGTAACCGCAAAATAAGCGCTAATCGAGCGATTTGATATAATTAATTAATTATACCCTCTCACTATATACAATTAGCGATTCATAATTAACATAATGTAATTAATTGATTATATAAAATCGCTCTCGTCGAGTCTGTTCAGTACCGTCTCTCCCCGTGTTCATCCCGGTCGGATGATCTCGCGGGACCGATCGATCGATAACCGTGCGAATGGGAAACGGGCGTATTTGCTGCAAGGCGATAATAATCGATCATTGATTAATCAATGATACGGATGCCAGGTTGCGAAGGAGGATCATACCGGGTGCGAAAGTTGTAAGGGAGCACGGAGACGTGGGCGTAAAAGTAAAAGTTGTCGACATAATATTACATTATTAAACGAACGTATGCTGTCCCACTGTGATAAAAACTTTTGTTTTTGCATGTAAAAATATATACTATTATTATATTGCCATAAGCGCGCGCGTACGAGCGAGAGAGCGAGAGAGAGAGAGAGAGAGAGAGAGAGTGTATCACATTAGTAGTACGCGTGTACGGATAGATATATATTTATCGATATATTTATCGCATGTACGATCACACAAATCGATCTGAGTAGTATCTATGTATCTGTATGCGCGTACGCACACATATACACGTATATACGTACATATATACATAAATACACATATATACATATACACACGTGAATGTACAGTGACACAGGTAATATTGTGATCGAGCGTGCACACCGTAGATAGGCGCATACGCGATTACGGAGAATGCGAAATCTTTATTATTGCGCACGCCATGTATTCATACGCTGACGAAGGACAAATTATTATATCGTAATTACCACTAAATATAGTATCGAACACCGTTAGGATGCCGTTCGCCGATCAGTGCAGCCGTGATATTTCGCGCGACCCTCGCGGAATTCGGCACGCACTCGGACAATCCTTTTGTATCTTTTACCACACACATCTTTTACACCCACCCACCCATCCATCTATCCATCCATCCATCCACCCACCCAAACACACACACACACATACACACGCGTACATACATACAAACACAAAACGCACACACGTACATCGATCCGCGAAGAGGTTTTGCGGTTTTAGCTTCGTTAGCAATAATTCGATTGTCGTAAACGCTGTTGGGTACCTTTCGGAAATTTATAATTTCCACGTGCTTTTTTTCGCGGAATACGATCAATCGACGATTAATCGAGGAGACCGGGCTGACGATTTGTTCTCTCGTCCTAGGAAACGTCCATTCGTGCGATTACCTCGACTGTCAATTTTCACATTATTGTCCAGGATCTCGTAGTCAGACGATTTCGTCCAAGCCTCGCATCAGGATTTACGATTAAGGGTGACAAATAAATCGCGTGTAGCGCTTTCTCGCGAAGCGATCTTTCTCAACGAAAGTCAGACGAACGGCGCGGTCGTTGGCATCGGTCTCTTCGATTACCGCGAGATTAATTTTATCGAAAATCGTGGATCATTGTGTCGTGTCACGCAGAAATGTGCGGAAGAACGTAAGTGGTGAGAAATCTCTTATTGAATTATATACGCTTCTTCTTTTACTGATTTCACATCTTTAATTAAGAAGAAAGTTATTTACAGGATTCTAAAGAAATGAACAAATAAGAATTACATGTATTACAGTTGTTTCAATTATTTTATAAATTAGAAAAATTATTGAATCGAAGATTTTTAATAGATGATTTGAAAGGAGAGAAAAGAGCGATCCGAGCAATCTCTAATTTGGAAAATATATTCCTACTCCGTGAAAATGAGTGAAGAAGAAGCGTGTAATTGAGCGAAATTTGATTTGCTAATTCGAGATCTCGAATGGATTCTCGATCGGAATCGAAAGGAGCGCACGAAGCTGATAACTGGTGAGATTGCCCTTTGGACGCGTGATGCTGATGGTGTAATGAACGTTTACTCGCTTCTTTGCGCAACGGTCATCTTCATACTGTATCGTTTATTTGCTAGAATTATCATGTAAAATCATTTATATTTGCATATGATTAATATGTTTTACTTATAAGATCGACGGTGTCTTATTATCCCCCTTTTGAAAGTCACACTATCACCCGTCAACTTTCCCTGGGAAAATCCTACTGCGGTATAGAAATGAAACATCACATGACGGTAGTAGTACATAAAAAAAAGAGCCAAATGTCGGTTACTCTTTCAACATAATTATAAACGTAGCAGTGGTTTTTTTTTTAATAGAAATATACGGATTTCATTTTCTCTTTCCGGATGTGGTAAGACGGATTACACTCGTGAGTTTCCTCGAGTTGATCTTCGGCCTGCGCGAGCGAGTTTCTCTCTCGGGGAGAAACATGATTCACTGCTCGAAAGAGAGCAAGCACGAGCGAAGTCGTATCGAAGTACTGCGGTCGCGTGTAATCAATAAACGCGAATTCTTTCGGTCGGATCGATCTATCGGGCGGTACACACTTGACGAGCGCTACAGCGCTCTTGGCGAGACTTGCGCTATAACGCCAGGGGCAGCCGAGCATAGAGCCGCTTTGAAAGTGAGATTAATCGTGCGAGACCTATCCTTACGTCTGTGAGTCATAAGGATCTCGCAATTATAACGTCATAATAATTGAATTATAAGGAAGGCGCCCCCAGCGAGGGCGCAGCCGGCCGCGCGACATGTATATGCCGAAAGCGCGATTTGTCATTCGTTCTGGCTCTCGAGCCAGTTCCGGGTGTATATTATAATCTCTTTGGTTTCGGAACGCTCCGCTCCTTTGCCAAGTAAAATTCTGCTGAAAAGATTCGATAAGTGTGACATGATGATTTTATTTTTTCGAGAAACAAACTTTTTAATATCGACTAGATCTTTTTCTCTGTCAAAAATTATATTTGCAGTTCGATAACCGAATAAGAAAAATAACAAATGGCAATTTGTAAATAATAAATAATAATTTAAAATTACTAAATTACTATAATTTAATAAAATATTAATTTTAATTATACATAATTGATTTATTAGAGAAATATTCTGTTATATATTGTCACGCATGTTACATGTTGTATATCGCGTTGGACATACAATGAGAAACTTTTTTTGCAGTGTCTCATTGTTGATTTTAATTACAACATCCTCGTAGCGTCGTCATCAAATGGCGGCCTTTTATAAAAATATTGATTGACGTAATTTTGCGCTTTGAGCAGTGATACACAGCATTCGTATCTAATTCACGCGAATTGTTCACACATGAGTTGGTTCTCGGACGGAAGATACCGAGTCAAATTCTTGGGATCGTAAAGTACGTGTTCCTGATGGCTGTATTTTTTTCCTTTTTTTCTTTACGTTACGTTACGCAATCGCGGAATTAAACGGAGAGACAACTCGCGCGCAGGCGATTACGGCGAGACGGATTTACCGTGCAGATTCTAACAGGCGGGATGACTGCATGCGCAGACGCCACGGAAGATGCGGAGGCACTTCTGCAATTTGCCAATTATGACGAGGCGAAAGGTGACATTAAAGATGATTTTAATTGAGCCTCGAATGTCGCCGGTGTCGAGAATGATTCCCCCGCGGCTCAACCCCGGAACGTCGTGCAATTCTCGCGCGGATGCATACGAGCGATTACGCAACGCCCGCCCGGAAATACTTGATTGGCGCTTAATTATCGGCATCGTTACCGTACATATCATACACCGGTGGTGATAACATAACGGTCGTGAAAATGTCACAAAAAATTCTAGCTTCGAATTTTCCGAGGTGTTCTGCTCGCGCGTGTACGCTCGTAAAATCGCGTCGTTACGATGCGGTTATCTTGAGCAGAATGGCCTGACGAATAATATTTGCTCTTTCGCGGCGCAGCAACGACGTTAATCGCTTTTGTGCAGGTATAAAAGCGACGAAACACTCTCGCAACGCACGGAGAAAAAGCCGCGCGCACCAGCTCATCGTCTAATAATGCGTCATTATCGCGCCGCCAGGAAATACAATCTTCCGTGAAATCGACAGCTTTATAGGTGCAAATATTCTGTCCGGCGTCAGATAAGCGACGGCTAATAATTATTACTCATGCCGGATTGCGATTCGAGTCTCTTTTTTATACCTTTGCATTTCCCGCGATTGCACATCGTCAATTCGACGAAGGAAGCGAATTGAACGTATACTGACATGTTGCCTCAAAGGACAAAATTGTGAGCATATAATTTTCTATTGCAACTTTGAGATCGCGATAATATCTATTTATGTATTCTATTTATCTAAATATGTATTCTAAAACGATTATATATAGTATATTTCCATAATATATGTTATCTTTCACTAAATAATTTCAAATGTAATCTTTATGTTCAGAAGCGGCTCTTCAAGAAAACCTTGGTGAGAAAATATAGACTTATTAATTTAAAGGAGAGACATACAGATACGAAGGTTTTCTCCTCCTCCTGCTGCTCATGAGAAACTTTATGGTAGTTAATTATTTTGATTTTATATTGCATTGTATGAGTTTGCAGAAAGCATTTAGCAGCTATATGATTTCTCTTCTAAATTAATAAGATCTACCTTTTCGTGGATTGCTGAAGAGTCGATTTTTTTAAATTTATAAATTATTAATTAATATAATTTATATTTCTACACTTTATGATAATCAGTTAGATTTATCGCAGAAGATAACTAATATATATTGGGAATTTATTATATCAATGATTCAATTCGTCTCATATTCCTTTACTTATAATGCTCAATTATCTCATATCTCGCAATCTCTCATTGAAGCGTACATACGAAATAACAATCGAGATCAAACGCGGGATTCGCTAATTACAAATCAGTCGCTCTCACACGGAGTTATACGTTATCTCGCTTTCGTGCGGATTCACCGAGGATTAAAGTTTAATTGAAGTCGAAAATAATTACAAATATTAATTTTTACATATATTTTAAGTGACATTTCCTATTGCATATGTTGAAAATTGTCATGTGAATTACATGTGATGAAAATTTCATATGAATTGCATATGTGAAAATTTTATCCATCGCATCAGAGAAGGTAATAACTATTAAAATTATAAGAGTCTACCAAATTATTACCTCAATAAAGCTGCAATAAAAAAAACAAAAAAATTATCAGTTTAAAAAAATAGTTAAACTAAATAATTTCTTCTAGAATGTATATATAATCATCATGTGCGTGTTTAATAAAATTTGAAATCTTTATCACCAAAATTAGAATTCTGATTAAAATAGAAACTTATTAAAAATTTTGCAACTTTTTCACACACACATACACACATCTCTGCTTAGATCATATCAGTCTCTTTCAAATAATAGTTATTTGACGCTTAATTAAAGACTTAATCAAATTATTATATCAAACCAAATCAGATTCACGATCTTGTGCGATAGACAGAACTACTTGTTAAGAGCCGCATCTTATTTAAAAGAATACTCTGCGACAATTCGGTCTGTCATTGCTCGTCGGTGTTTGCGGGACGATAAATCGTTAAACAGTGGGTTAAAATGGTACACGATGGTACCACTGTGCAAAGGGTTTGGCCCGCATAATTACCAGTGACGATCGATACTCCCGGCTTATCACGGTCATTGTACACGATGCTCCACCGATGCAACGCATACGCGCCGCCTTCCCGTTCCATTCGGAATAAAACAATACCGAATGACAAGCGGCACAAAATAGTTGCGTTATTACTAACGGCGACACACTAACGCGATGTATCGTGATTACACCTTCCTTGTTTATACATGACGAACGATTACGTGGAATTAGAAATATTCATGTTCCGGGTCGCGTATCCGCTGGACGATTAACAAGCGCACGCTTATTTTTTTCCACACTGCGCGCGGCGATCAGCTCTCTAGCCTTAGGGACAGATTGTTTTACTCATCATTTTTTATTAATATGTTTGTGAAATGTGTGCTAAGAATAAACATAACCGCACATTTTTTAAACATTTGAAACAATATTTATATTTTTTATTAATTTAATGGAATAGCTTTTATATTTTTTTTTACATAATTCTTCTTTTATGTAAATTGACATTAAAGTGATTTTTATCCATACTCTCGTTGCAAGTGTCAATACACGTTCAAAAGAAACAGTATTAATTTTTGCAATAATGATATCAATTTTTTTTTTTTTTATTAAATTTTTCTTGCCAACGAAGTTTGACGTGCTCACTTGTGGACAGCTAGATTTCAACCAGCGGGTTAGTCAGTCTCGACAGTTTAACTTCCCAAGATCGTCCCATCTCGAAAGGTATTTTCTACCTGCGATCATGACAGAAAATTTGGGCGCCGCCGTGATTTACAGTCACGCCCGGTGACTAAATTCCGTTGTTTCCATTGAGTAATTCCCGGGCTGAAGGAGAGAACGAAGGAATTCTCTCTCTCTCTCTCTCTCTATCTCTCTCTCGTCGAGAAATGTATGCAGCAGAGGAGGATGAGCGAGAATGCGCCGCCGGGGTGCCCTCGGCCGGGCGCTATTAGGCCAATTGATTATATAGCGTCGCGATCGGGTGGTATACCACGGGATACTTTGACGGGCCGCGCGGTGCACTTATGTCAGATCACGACCGACAATGAGAAAGGCCGCCGCACTTGCGCGACCATAATATCACGGTATTTGCACACTCGGTGACCTTGAAGGTATCCGTACCGCCCTGCCGAGCCTTGAACTTGTACGCCGAAGAATCTCCCGTGCGAACTTGGCGACGGTCCAAGTCGATCTACTTAGAGTCCATGCGTCCTCTCGACGTGGATTAGAGACTCGTATTTCTCTTTTTTTTTTCCTATAATTTTTTAGTAGAAGTCGATAGAATTCGATAGAGAATCCGCACCAGGCGGGTTTTTAATAAAAATTCCTCGTTTGACGCTAGATAACCGTATCTAAATTCGCAGGTTACCTATCGCTACGATCGATCAAACATTCAGGGCGTTTACTGCCTCGATTGCCTATAGTCGTAAAAAAAAAACGACATTAATGACATATAATCACAGATTATTACATGATTGAGAGCACCATTTAAAATTCCTCCTTGATATATGGACTGTTCAAATTACGACTTTTATACGATAAGTTTAATAGTGACATTTATTAACGATTTTTCCGATCATCTCACTCGTAATGTCTTTCTTTCCGGTACATCGAGCGGCTATTTCTACTTATGATAAAGAGTCATTACGTAGGTCATCTAAAAATAGCTTTCCGCAAGCAATTTTTGATGCGAGGATAAAACTCGGACGATTAAATGAACGATTCGAGGCGCATCGCGCATTTTCTTTTCAAGACGCTTCATTATTTGATCGCCACAACGCGGCGCCGTAATAAAAGTTCCGTTAACTGCCTCGATGATTCCGCGATGGCGAATGCATGTATTGTTGTCCGTCGTGCCTCGCGGGGATGAACATTATTGTCGCGGTAAGCAACGCGGTATCGACGCTGTCCATTTCGATCAAGAGATACGTGTCCGACGTATCCTGTTGTGCGCGATAGTTTTTTTTCCGCAGTCTTTCGCATGGTTGAAGGTAAGATCCGATCTAAGCGCATGTTGCCCGTTTCCGGGTGCGTGCCTCGGACTATTAGAACAAGCTAAATTTTCCCTTCCTCTTGAAACTGGTTGGGAAAAATCGCTTCGCGGATCTCAATGCTTTGTTTAATCTCGGAAATCCATCAACGTGACTCCCGATCGAAATTATGATCGCTTATAGAATATTTACATGCATTTAAACATAAAATCAAGCGTCACTTTAGCAATATTGAAATATTTCAGTCATATTAAGAATAAAAATAGGAAAAATCGAACTGACTTCCGAATAGCTTTTTAAGATATATGGAACTTTAGCTATTTCTCAGAGATGTAAAACGTATTGCAGATATAGAAAACATAAATTTAATAGTCCTTACTTTTTACTTTTTTATTTTCCCATTTATCTTTCTTTAAATATTATTTATATACTTTAACATTTATAGTAAATTCTTTTACATCAAAATTACTTTAATTATATTTCTTTCAAATATTCGATTGAATTCTAATACGATACGTAATAAGACATTTATCCATATATTTTTTTACCTTAACCTAGGCAATATGCTGTGCTATCTTCTCTGGCCTGCAGGACATTTTTCTTTCGAAAAAAATGTCCTGCAGCCAGCGTCCCTACGTCAATGAGCCAGTTGTTAAAGCAATCTGTCACGTACAAACTGTTTAATAGATTGAAGAGAGGAGCACGGCGTGAGCGCCGTGAGCGGATTCCGCTTAGGAATTCCTCATCGGGCGGATACACCTTATCGCGGCTCGTCTTTCACGAGGAGATATACCCTTCGGCGGAGGTTATCCGTGGAGGCCGTCAGGTGGGAGGTGGAGTCACGGGTGACGAGTCTCGGTAGGGCCCCCGTCGACGCCGTCAGTAGATACAGGTAGGGGCCCCCCTCGGGATCCCACGGCACGCACGTACCCCCCAGGTTAACGTTGGACCCCCACTTGCGGCCGGCCGAGAGTCGCGCTGGTGCGCGGTCGGCGACGACCGTCGTCGAGCCGCCTACAGTTGTAGTCGGTGCACCACTCCGCGAGTACGGCGACACTCCGCGCGCGCGTGGCGTGTACCACCCCGCGCAGAATACCACACCGGTGTGCTCGATATCAGCGGAGCGAGCCCGTCCGCGGAGCCGGTATCCGGGAAAATTTCGATTACGAGTCGGAAAAGCGGGCGAGACTCGAAGTCTACGCGACTTGCGAGCACGAGCGGTGTACGGATCCCCGCGAATACGTGTACTCGTTGGTGGATTGGATGTCCGAGTATTCGAATTTCTTCCCGGGTGAAGAAAGAATCGTGACAGGGGATACCTGGCACGAGGTCCGTGTTTTACATGCGATCGTAGTACGGACACTTTGCGTGACAGATGCACCGCGATTACGTGTACTACTTGGTAGTAGAACATTCGAGTTTTGGCGAATTTGAGACGGACGCGTTTTCTTTCACCTAAAACTCCATTAAAATTTAGGAATCGCGTCTGGTGTACTCATTGATGAATAATTCGGATGACGGGATCAATAGATCAATAATTGCGTTGTTCGAAATCCACATCCTGCTGTTTGAACCAAAGAAAGTTGGTGAATTTATGGATATTCTGTGAATACTATAGTATTCAGTATTTGATAAAATATTTAAATATTTTCGAAGATTGGCAAAAAATCTTCACTTTTTAATCGATTAAAATTGAGGAGAGAAGAGATATTTTCCAGGATTCGAAAAATACAGTGAGTAATGTTAAAAATATAAAAAATACAGGATTAATTATACTCGAATATTATTAGTTTTCAATTAAATTGCTTTGTGATGATTAAAATAATTTTGAAGTAATGAAGTAAAGAGAGGAGTTGAAAAAAAAAACACATCGAGAACACGAAGAGTTTTATAATATTTTTATAGATAATATTTCGCAGTAAAAATGTTTACAAGAAAATATAGTGGAATCATGACATTGTCACGCATCCCCCTCCTGTTAGTTTATAACCCTCACTTTTCCTTTTTTTAAGAAAGAGAGAGGAACAAAATAAGGAAGAAGACAATATTCAATAGATCTTAAAAGAAGTATTTGCAAAATAAAAGACAACATTTTATAGCAACTTTTATAGAGATATTTTGGAACAGTCTTCAGCAAAGTCTAAAGTATTAGAAAAATAAAATATTTTTAAGAGAATGCCTAAAGAGTTAATTAATAATTTTAATGAATAAAAAATCATCTGCGCGATTAATTAATGACTTTAAGACGGAATGTGATGAGAAGTAGGTACATGTTGAGAAGTGTAGAACGCTAGGTGACGATTTTGACAGATTAAGATATTATGTTGATCATATATTGATCAATTTATACGATAAAGCGTGATAATATCGTAAATATTATAACTGATATTCGCGAATTGGCAATTACGTGCATGCTTTCGCAGGAGATATTTTTGCGTTAAAGAGTAGAATGAGGAAAACGCACGCACGGACGGATGACGTTTAATGCCACGGTATTCGTGTGCGCACGCGATAATGGTGACAGTATTACGTTAATAGAGATGCGTGAGCGATCGAGATGTATGCGCGTGGCTCAAACGATCGTCAGTTGAATGCAGTAGGATGAATCAGAAAGTACAAGCGGAGAACTTGACTTCATGGCGAAAGAAAACTTATCTAATACAGATGATTAATTTTCTATTTAATTTCCTTGTGAGAAATATTAAATCATTTGCTTATAAAAACGCAGTTCGTAATGAGACACAGTTTATTGTTTTTTCATATTTTTACTTTATATTTCAATTATTATGTTTTGGAAATATTCGTATTGCAAAGGTATTACTAATAAAAATAAAAATATTTGTAGATTGCGTTAATATTATTATTTTGCTATATTATTATACAATGTTATTCACACATAATAATTCACATCAATATTGTAAATGTAAACTATTTCCACAATTTTTGTAATTTATAGAAATTTTATTTCTGTTTATACCTAAAAGAAAAATTCGAATAATACGTTTGAATTATGATCGTTTGAGATCGCACAATTCTGAAAAAAAAAAGAGAATACAAAGCACGTGTAAATCATTGATCGAAGTAACAGTCAGTTTAAAGAATGTCATGATATTTATATAAATTGATATTCCACCCTCGCTCGCGATATATCCATAACCCGATGAATCAGCCTCAGTTAATTAACATTCCATTAGCCACGGAAAGTTCAAGGAAATGCGCTCGCAAGTACGATTTTACTTAAAACTGGCTTTATATTTAGACTATTTCTTGTTTACGATCGCTTTGCGCTCCATTATATGCTAATTAGGAGCGCAACCCAGTAATTAGCCGTGTTACTTTACGCTCGAGTAGATCCGCCTGTATTAAGAACGCGATCACTACCGATACCCGCGGCAATTCCATTTGTTTCGAGAGTTACCGGACGTAGTAGATATCGAGCGTATTTTCCGCCAGAAAAGATCGAAAAATAATGAATTAAGAGATCTCGCTTAATTAAATATTCAGTAGACGATATAATTGAAAATAATGCCAATTCTCGTTTCATCAGTAAAGGGGTTGAGAGAGATATTGTACAAGTTATTATAAAGTATAATTGAGTTTATAATTTTTAAAATTAATTGTAATAATGTAATTTTTTAAATTTCTAATTTTGAAAAATTTGTTTTATTATTTTTTAACATTGAAATGACTGTAGGAAAACATCATTTTCGGATTTTTAGTTATTAGTACTATTCACTACCTCTATGTCAGACATCAATTGTGACGTCAGAAGCGAGAAAATACATAAGATTCTTGCAAGATACATTAAAATGAAAATATTTTTTAATAAAATAACATTAGCAATCAATAGAACGAACATGTAAAATATAATTCTTCTTTTATTTTATTAATAAATATTTTAATTTAGTTAGAAAATAATCATATATCTGAATTATGCCAAAAATGAAATTCGCTATATTCATCACTTCGGTAGCTGTCATTAATATGCGTATAGAAATAAATGTAATTTAATTCTTTACTGAAACAAAAAGAGAGTTTCTTCAATATATTTTATGTTTATTCTATAATTGTACATACTGTTTTATTAAAAAGTATTTCGGTTTTCATACTTTTTTCAAGAATTATTTAGTATGTTTCAATGCTTTCTCACTTCTAATGTCACAATCTGAGGTAGTTGTAGTGATAGTGGTCAGGAGCTTTAAATGATAAATGAAAAATTTGTGAATTTAATTACAATGCAATTTTTGTTTTGATAAAAGTTTATAAATTTCTTTATGCTATATAAATATTAGTTTTACTTATATAAATAAGACATTGAAAATAAAGTATCATATGAAATGACAAGAAAGGAGTCATATCAAGACTTATCAGGATATATACATGATAGCTGAAAATGATGTCCGACTCTTTTTCCGCGATAAAGTAAAGTTCACACTTGAAAGAGCAAAATAAAAGGATTTAGGATAATTAATCTTGTTTCGCACACAAAGGATTAGAGTATTCACTGTGCAGCAGCACTGACCCTCTTTTCATCGATCGCTCCATAAATCACCGCCATCACGCGAGTAAAGGTCTGTTTCGGCAGAACGATTTTAAAGCGTTATCATAGAATAAGTATCTGATACAAAAATCCGATGTAAAAAATTAATGTATAAAAATTGAGATACATAAATATTGTATAGATAGATAGAATAAAATTCGATACGAAACGCATGAGAGAAAACAAATCGGAAAAATTCTCGTCTTTTTTTAAACAAAATGCAAGAATTTTTTACTTGAATACTGGCTGTTCTAAAATTCTCGATTTTTAATTTTAAACAATAATTTTAATACTATCATTGATGCCTTTAATTGTTTTTTCTAGTGAATTATAGTTCTCGGAATATTTTTAATACTGGATTTAATTGTTATCACATTTAATATAAAATATTAAAATTAACGAGAATAATAGCCCACCCGAGCTTCTTTCTAACAAGATAAAATTAATTATGTACCTATCGGAGAGTTTATCACTAAAACTGAACTTGGACATTTCGAAACACTTTGCATGAAATACCCACCGGCAAGAATACTATAGCAATGTTGTACAAAAATTCCAAGTGGACCATAATATTATCCATTCAATGCAGCCGATCGCTGGAGCAACCACCGAAGGCCCTTCGCGTCAACTCGACGGTGCTCTCCTTCAGTAAGATCGACGATCAGTCGTTAGAGAACGGGAGCGTTGCGAACCGGCGCCGACCGACCGGCGAAGTCGAACACCTGACGGTTCTTCAGGTAGCAACTCGGATAGAGAATCCGAGTCAGTGCGGAAGGCAGACAGCTAGCGAACGCTCGTATCTCTTGCGAAGAGGGGGATTCGCCCTTACATGCGCCGTCGTCGCACCGTCGCCAGTACAAATCGCACGCGAGCAAACGCCTCGGCGATAGTGCACGTGCGCCACGACGTACGGCGTACGACGCCGCGACGGCCGACGCTTCCGTCCCGTCGTCGCCGCTGCAGCTCGTCGCGACCGCAGCGATAAATGTGCCGCCGTTGCCGTGGATGACATCCCGGCCGTTCTCCAAAATGACGATCGTCTGGATCATCACCCTGCTGGCCCTCGGCGTCACCTGTCACGGTAAGTACACACAATTTGCCGATTTCTTCCGCCTGTCAATCGCTTAGATTAATCGTCAGGAGTTCTTTGAACCGCGGATCATGATTTAATACTTTGGTATCTCCAAAAAATAATGCAGACATCCGCGTAATGTCATTAAAATCACGTGAAAAGTAATCTATATTTAAAGTAACTAAATTAAAAGGAACAGCAGGAAATGTAGCAAAAACATTTGTCGTGTAATAGTTTTGAAATCTACGTCAATATTGCTAATGCACTCTTTTTTTATTTAAAATTTTTTAAAATAATTTTCATCAGTTTTTTAAAATTAATTTTGTAGGAAAATATGTATCACGATCGACATTCGTGCTTAGTAATATTCGGTACTTCGACTTTGTATTTCCTTGTTCACGGTCGTTGGAAATCTGTGAGCCGTGGTCAGTCGTTCACTATAGCCACGCTGCGAATCGGCAGCAATTACAATAAACTAATTGTCTTACGGTATATCTTAATTCGACTTTATTTCGTTGTCCTTAATAACTTCTCCTACAATTTTTACATTTTTAATGTAAATGGAGTACATATAAATCTTTCGTACATCTGAATTTGATTTCTTGTTTTATGCTTTGTTTCAATAAACTCCTAAAGCTTTAATTGCGATCTTGCGACAACGCTCGTTATCACCTGAAAGTTACGAGCAGTCATTTGCATTCTAATTGGCGCTCTCGATATAGTTTCTGATAGCCAATCGAAGTGAAGCGTCTTAAAATAGAAAGCTAGATGATAGAACGATCGATACTTATTTCTAAACGTGCGGCTGTAAATTGACAATGCGACTCGCCGTCACACGAGCCACTTTGGTATGCATCGGTCGTAGATATGTAATGACAGAAATTTGATGCGTCGTCGATTGATCGCCTCGACGAAAATTACTTTACGTAATTGAGCGATTACAGGGACTCGCGATGGAGATTAATGCATTACGTAACGCAGGATGCGCTGTTCTTCGTTCGAGCGCGGAGTCCCTGAAAACTCTTTTTTTTTCCTTTCCATTCGACAATTCCACGATAATCGTATTAAAATGTGACGATTGCGTCGTCGCTATGCCAACTGCAACAAACCGAAAGATTATTCCGTCGATGTCTATCAGTTGAATCTTCGTGTCCTTTAATCATTTTATTCTCTCATATGTATCCAATTCTTCCCTATATTTTTTTGTGCGCGCAATGTATATTCTTGAAATTTACGCTGTTAATCGTTGATTTTATATTAATTTTATTGAACTAGCAAAACTTTTCAATAGAATGTCGATGTTTCATCTCGCGATTGCATGATCTCCCTTTCGAAGAGTCTCTTTTATCCTTTGATATTGTTTACGAGCAGGCTTTATAAATTTATAGTTTAAATCTAAGCAACGTTTCTATTTCGTTTTCCTGCGCGCGTGTAGCCTACAGTGATTATTTCAGATATAATTATCAGTATCATAATCTGGCACGTGCGGTATTCGCATCAGTGATTTGCCGAGAACAGATATGTAAATGTGAAATAATAATAAAAGATATTTAGGGAGCAACGAGAAATCGTAATACTTTTTCGTTATACTTATGCCAATCGTCCTGTTTCGTGTGTTTTTTTATCTGTCTATCTTTTTGTTTTTTCTTTCTTTCACTGAACAGCTGAGCAAGTCCGCGGACACGTCAGCGTTACTACGTGCCTCTACAATTATCTCGCGGAATATTTTTCGATATACTGCAGCTGAAGTAGCAGCGATGCAATCACCACAAGAACATTTGTCAAGTTGGAGCCACAATTTTTAAGATTATTTTGTTCATTTTAATTAATTATATATCAAGATATTTGTATCTATTACATCTATTATATTATTCATAGCTTAAGTCTTTGGAAAATTTTACGATCATCAAGAAGAATCTTTCGTTGGAACTTTTTAATTTGTTTCATAATATGAAACAAATGATTAAGTTTTAAATCGTAAAAACGAAGCTTAAGTTATACAATAAATTAGCGAATTTGAGAATTTAATTTGTGACCAAATTTTGTTAATTTTTTGTTTTTCAAAGTCAGATTAAATTAATTTTATAATTATTCATTTGTTATGTAATAAATTTCGAATTCATTCAAAATTATTATATTCGAAATTTTGAATTTATTTCGAAAAGCAACGATTCGTTCGGTCTTCTGTTCTTTGTTAATAAAATATATATCTGTCAAACACAAGTTAGAAAGGCAGTAAAATATTATATTTGTGACAATATTGTGACATATTCCACATATCGTGCTTCGGCCGTGTTCCGGATGCCGACTGCCTAGTTTGCGTTCGATTACAAATTTAATTAATCTTTGCATTCAGCGTACATGTGCAAATAGTCGTCAAAATTAAACTAAATACTTTCATATTAAAGACAATCACATTTTACATTTCAAATTTGAGCTTACGTTAAAATTAATGCCTGATCCCGTTCGTGTTGTCGCGCTCTATATATTAATATAGATGTGCAATTATCGTAATGCCATATAATATCCAGAATAAAAGATACAAAGCACGTGTGAAAATTCGATATATTATAAATTTTAAACAATATATATATTCCAAATATTTTCTATAATCCAGTTATCTTTGGAATTTAAGCAAAAAAACATTTGATATAGTGTAACACTTTCCCAGCTTCTCACAAGTAACCTTCTCATGTGATTATATAATTTCAATGTCCACGCACGTAGGATCGCCTTGAACAATACTTTTTTAAGCCGCTCGCCACTAATCAGATACTATCTGCGATTGTTAACACGCGCTAATAAACACCATAAACAATGCGCGATAACGTTACGTATCGTACATATAACACGGAATCAATGACGACTGCGAACCGTCATTACTTTTACGACTCCAAAGGCCTTAACCATGACAAGGGCCACATAATATTAAATCGGTACAAAGATTGCATTTGAAATCACTATTGCGAGGGCACTTGGATCCATGATACGCTCGCAATTGTCCGATTTGCTTCGAACGTTAGAATTCTCAAAAATAGATCCGAAATCCAAGTATTGCGTAGATTCGTAGAAATATATTCTAATCTTATTCGCTCCTTATTGTATATTATTTTATTTGTTCTTGTAACTCTTTGAAATTATTTAAGCTTTACTTGAAAGCTAACAACAAAGTATGGTGAATCGCGAAAGATATGTTTGCGGATTTTTCGTATTTTCTCTTACTCTTCATATAATTGTTATTTTTTTAACACATTTCTGAATAATTATGGAATCGTTATTAATCATATAATTATGGAATCATTATCAATCATATAATTATGGAAATTACAATTTTTTCTGCAATTTATTACTGCGCTTTATTACTAATTATTATTCAAAATCACGCACATTACCTCGGTCATGCCGATGGTAACATGTATGGCATTGATAATCATACTTCTAAATCTACACGTCTACAAGTCATATCAATGTGTAACCTTATAAATAATTTTACTTGTAAGGTTATACGTCCTTTACAAAAAAGATAATGAGTTTGCTAATTACAATCATACGTACACAATTTTATTTTGTATCTAATATTTCTATCTGGGATATCATTGAAATGCACACATGGAATATAAAATAAAAATATAAGTCACAGATTTTCACTTTACTTTTCATTACAATTCGAAATTACTATTTATAGTTTGAAAACGTGTTCCGAAAGAATCGCTTATTGAAAATTTTGTACTAACGGAGAAAGCATTTCGATTCGACATCGCCTTCCTAGCATTGAAGTCTACTTCTACGCGGCGCGCCGCAAGTAGATCCACCTTGGCAGTGAAACCAGCTTGAGGCGATTCTCTTTCTCGCGCGCGCGCACGCGATCTGTGTTTCGGGATCTCTTTTCTCCTTCTACGTTCTCCATGACACGGCGATTGCGTTTCATTAACAAGTTCGGCACGTTATCGGAAGACGCACGTGCGACGCGCGTAGAGGCGGCGCGCCAACAGCCGCATGAAATTTAAAGGGCGATTTAGAAGGAATGCGGGGCGCGCTCAATGTAAAAATGACTTTATTCTTGTGCGAAATGTTGTCTTCCAACAATAATCACTTCTACGCGTTTTTTATAGTTACCTAACTGCAATCTAGAAATGCGTATCTAGTACAAATGTATTATATTTATTTTTGATTTATTGTACGAAAAGTACGTCAACCCTTATACAATCGATTACCGCGGAGCCAATTTTTTACACGTCGACAGAATTATTTAAATTAAAAAGCGACGAAAAGGACAAAATGTAAAAGCATTCGCGTATTTTACAATTAGTCAAGTAATGAACGTATCTCTCCACGCGATTTGAAAATTGTTCCGTCTGAACAGGCCTTAGCCCCGACGCCGGCCGATCGATTCACTTTCGTCCCGCGGCGTCGCCGGAATAACAAATCGATGGCGGCCGTGCGGGTTTTCGCCCGACGTTGAGGCGACGACTAGGCGAAATCATGCCTGGGATCTTTCACGCTACCGGAATCAGAGCGAAACGCAGTGCATCACGTGCACCGTTTTTAGCACTGTTTATCGCGCGCGATTTCTTCGTCGGGAATAAGCGAGCGCTTATTCCCGAGGATCCGCGTGAAATGATCGCTGCCGCTATGAGACAGGAACAAGCGCAAATTCATCATTTCACGTTTCATATGAAATGCATAATATCTTATTTATCGCTGATGATTTTATTAAAGGGACGTACAAATGTATAAGTAGCCTTCATAGATTGTTGAAATTGATTTTATGCTAAAGCTGTTCGGGTTCAATTTGATCCATGTGTAATACAGTAGGAAGATTTTATTAGTAATGCATTTATGATTAATAATTTATTAAAATTCAAAATTTATTTAATATAAATTAATATATATAAGCAAAAAATTCTTATTAATTAGAAGCTAGTAAATTTAGTCCAAATGAATTTAAAATGATTCTGAACAACCTAGAAAATTAATGCATAAAATAATGTTTCCAAATATAGTGATCT